ATATTACATATTCCAATTTTAACCAAACACAAGAATCTAACATTCCCAGCAATCTAACATAAAAGGTAATCTGACATTCCGTGAACCAAACGACCCTAAGAATATTTGAATTGATATATAATTATTTAAATTAAAACACCAAATATTATATAGTGTAATTGAATATACGGGTTGGATCATTTATGTGTTTTTATATTATCATTGTTTGAATTTAAACAAATAATTGCTGAAATTAATAGCTAATGTGTAGATGTATGCATGCGTAATTTTGGAGATTTTATTTATCATTGTTTAGTATTTTTCTATAAATTAGACAAATGTGTTCGTTCCCTAGTAACTCAATTATATGAATGAATTGCTATCTTAATTCATTTGTTTGGAGGATATCTTTTTTGTTTATATATATATATAGCAATTTTGTCATTTAAAAAAACATAATATCAACTATTTTATTTACACACTAGTATTTTCACCCGTGCGCTGCACGGAATGGAGTTGTTATAATATACTAGTATTTTCACCCGTGCTATGCACGGAATGGAATTGTTGTAATATACTAAGAATATTTAAATCGATATATAATTATTTAAGAGTTAATTTCACCAGAGGTCGCTTATAGGATTTCTATTACCATCATTAATTATCCCTAATTTACCGTAATTAAATAATTTGACCAATTATAAAGAGAGATTATTAAAAAATGCACGGGACAATTTTTTAATTAAAAAATTTAAAAAGTCATTAATAAAACATAAGGTTCTCATAGTTTTTTATTAGAAACTATTTAATAAAGCATTTTTTTAGAAATTGGTGGGCCAAACCGCCTATGGCTGTTTGCGGTGGATATATCTCGAAAAAATACACAATTTCAAAAAAACATTTGTCTAAAACGGACAACCGAGTCAAAAGTTATGCATTGCCGAACTTTTGACACTTCACAGCTTTTACCCAGAATTATTGTACGAATGAGAAAGTAGAAATCAATATATTTTATTGGGAAGAGAGATTTTTTAGGAATTGGGCGGGAAGTTAAAATTTAAGGATTTTGTTTTTATATATAGTATAGATTAGATGTGCAAAGAGAATTGTATTACACTATTTTATAATTTTAGAATAGACTTTTTAACCAGAAATATTATACGAATGGGAAAGTAGAAATCAATATGTTTTATTGGGAAGAGATATTTTTTAGGAACTGGGCGGGAAGTTAAAATTTCATGATTTTGTTTTTACAAATAGTATAAATTAGATGTGCAAAGAGAATTGTATTACACTATTTTATAATTTTAGAAAAGAATTTTTACCCAGAATTATTTTACCAATGGGAAAGTAACACTGTTTTATAATTGTAGAATAGAATTTTTACCCAGAATTATTGTACGAATGGGAAAGTAAAAATCAATATATTTTATTGGGAAGAGAGATTTTTTAGGAATTGGGCGGGAAGTTAAAATTTCAGGATTTTGTTTTTATATATAGTATAGATATAGATTAGATGTGCAAAGAGAATTGTATTACACTATTTTATAATTTTAGATTAAAATTTTTACCCATAATTATTGTACCAATGGGAAAGTATAAATCAATATATTTTATTGGGAAGAGAGATTTTTTAGTAATTGGGCGGGAAGTTAAAATTTCAGGATTTTGTTTTTATATATAGTATAGATATAGATTAGATGTGCAAAGAGAATTGTATTACACTATTTTATAATTTTAGAATAGAATTTTTACCCAGAATTATTGTACGAATGGGAAAGTAAAAGTCAATATATTTCATTGGGAAGAGAGATTTTTTATGAATTGGGCGGGAAGTTAAAATTTCAGGATTTTGTTTTTATATATTGGTAGGGAATATCCCGACCGACATAGCTTCACCACGACCGGGGAGCCTTGTCTCTTTTTCCTTGTCTTTGCAGGCAACAGGTCGGGCTCCTCGAGAAGAACCCGGTCGTAGACCGACCGGGAGTTGCCCGAGCGACGGTGTCGACCACCGAGCGGTAGCCCTCTGGCGGAAGAGCTGACGAAGGACACGTGGCGGCTCTCTACATCGACAGGCAGGGCACCCGGGAGGATGACACGTGGTGGCTACGTGGAGGTCATGCCGAACGGCTGGAATCTTGTCCCCGGCATAGCGGCTATAAATACCCACAGTAGCTACAGTGGAAGGGACTTTTGGACGATCGATAGGTTGCTGTTAGAGAATCCCGACCGCAGTCAGTCGGTACTCAGAGCAACCAAGTAGATTGTGCTTAGGGCCTTCGCCGTGATCAATAAAGATATTTACTTGCTTTAATTGATCTCGTGTTGTTATATATTGCTCGCGTATAATTAGCAGTATCATATATAGTATAGATTAAGAATATTTAAATCGATATATAATTATTTAAGAGTTAATTTCACCAGAAGTCGTTTATCTTTCTTGACAATTACAAATTTAATCCTAGACTATAGTTATTAATTATTACGATTTATTCTATGTTATAATTCTTACGTTAATATTCTTACTATTATTATTAACACTTAATTACTTTTAGATATTATTTTTATCACTTATATTATTATTATTAGTTTCTTTTCAAGTTCTGTTAGTATATAATGGCTGTGACGCACAATAATAATATAATCATAATTAAATATTCTTGTATTGTATTTTGTGAGTCACAATAATAATATAACAATATGGAATAAGGGTCAAATAGGCCATCGAACTGCACACGATAATGTAATTAGGCCACTGAACCTAAAAAATCAACAATTAGGTCTCTAAACTAACCAATTTCAAACAATTATTCTAATTTCAAGGTTTCCAACAGGTCAACAGGTCATCCTCTCAAATTAATTATTTTTAAAAAATAAAATTTAAAACATAATTATTTTTAAATTAAAAAAAAAAAAAAAAAAAAAAAAAAAAAAAAAAAAAAAACTCCGGCCGGAGACAACCGTCTCAGGCCAGTTTCTTCGTCCCATGGCCGGAGATGAAGAAACTCTTCGTCTCCGGCCATGGAGAAGAAGAAACTCTTCGTCTCCATGGCCAAAGACGGAGAAACCGGCCGGAGACGGTCGTCTCCGGCAGGTCCTGTTTTTTTTTTTTATATATAATTATTTTTTTGGATAAATTTAATAATTAATTTTAAAAATATTTTTTAAAAAATAATTTATTTGGAATGATGACGTGTTGAAAATCTTCAAATTGGAAGAATTGTTTGAAATTGGTTAGTTTAGGGACCCAATTGTTGTCTTCTTAGGTTCAGTGGCCTAATTGAATTATTGTGTGCAGTTAGATGGCCTATTTGACCCTTATTCCTAACAATAATTAAATATTCTTCAATTCTATATTCTTATAGGATTTCTATTACCATCATTAATTATTCCCTAATTTACCATAATTAAATAATTTGACCAATTATAAAGAGAGATTATTAAATAATGCACGAGACAATTTTTTAATTTAAAAATTTAAAAATTCATTAATAAAACATAAGGTTCTCATAGTTTTTTCTTAGAAACTATTTAATAAAGCATTTTTTTTTTTTAGAAATTGGTGGGCCAAACCGCCTACGGCAGTTTGCGGTGGATAGATCTCGAAAAATACGCGATTTCAAAAAAAATATTTGTCCAAAACGGACAACAGAATCAATATATTTTATTGGGAAGATAGATTTTTTAAGAATTGGGCGGGAAGTTAAAATTTCAGGATTTTGTTTTGATATATAGTATATTACAATATGAATTGTATTACATTATTTTATAATATTATAATAGAAGTTTAACCCATAATTATTGTACGAATGTGAAAGTAGAAATCAATATATTTTATTGAGAAGGGAGATTTTTTAGGAATTGGGCGGGAAGTTAAAATTTTAGGATTTTGTTTTTATATATAGTATAGATTACTTTTTATTAAATTTTCATGAAGTAAAACTCTAACCATATAAATTAATTTAGATTTATCCTTCATTATAATGAAACCTTGATCTTATAGTTGTATTAGTTATTCATTCATTGAATATTCAAAAAGTATTGAACTTGAAGGTGATAAAACTTGAGAATGATTATATGATCACAAAAAAAAAAAAAAAAAAAAAAAAAAAGTGTTTCATTATAGTTATAAAGATCATTACTGTTTCAATATTAGTTATAGTCAAAGGATTGAGCTTGTCCAATATGGCATGTCCATAAATAAGTTAATCGACATGTAAATTGGATGCGACATATCTATGGATAACCTAAACGATATGCATATTGAATGATATTTTGTTATTTTCTTTCAAAATGTTGAACCTCAATAGGGTCCCTCACAATATAATCCGACTCGACAGAGCATTTAGAAGAATGATATTTTCTTATGTTGGTGCTGTAGGTGATGGATTTCAGCATTGTAGTATACTTACTTCTTAACCCATCATGACGGTTGTAAATAAGTCACGCATAACTACACGATTATTTGGTTATATGGTGTGTAATAAGTATGTGGACATTAACTATTTAATCACATCCTTCCATGATAAGTCGCAGCGCCACGTCTCGAATTGAACAGGGACTGAACTTGACCAATCCAGTCAACGCCCAATAGTAGAAGTATATCTGTCTAAATTTATATAGTTGTTTACTTTTGATTCGTTGTTGCAATATGCTTTTTTATCTCATTGTTTGTTTCTCTCACACTTATATGCTCTTGAAACTTGAAAGTGTAAATAAGTTGTCCCGATAATTAACATAGTGATTTGTTATTTGACTTGATATTATGATTGAAACGATAGTGTGAAAATTAGAGTTAGTGATTTGTTATTTGACTTGATATTATGATTGAAAACAATAGTGTGAAAATTAGAGTTTAATTGATAAGTTAATTACGAAACTCATGATTTATATCAGTAATTAAGTGAGAAGTATAATTTTTTATTTTTTTTTATCTAGCCCCTTACTATTATACAATAAAGTACATAAAAAAATATTATAATTATCCCATAGTATAGCCGGCATAATAGGATTTGGAGCCCTACTTTCATATTCTTCCATCTATTTATCTATTATTACTCCATTCCCACCTCCTACTGGTTCACTGCTCACTATCAGATTGTATATTTGTATTCTCCTAGGAACCTCCACCACCACTCTTCAGCAAGAAAAAAGAGAAAGGAAAAAGGAAAAAGAGAGCAAAAATGTAAGTTCCTACTTCTAATAACACGGAGTAATTGTTAATGGAGTACTTTCACGTGAATTTTGGAAATGATCATAAAAAAGAGTCTCTTTTTTTGGTTTTCTTGCTTTATTCCTTGAATTTTCAACCTGGTTTGAAACTGGGCATTGCTTGCAGGGAAGGTGGGTCGAATTTGAAGCCAATGGATTCAGAGCAACTGAGGGAATATGGTCACAAGATGGTGGATTTCATTGCCGATTACTACAAGAACATTGAGAGCTTCCCAGTTCTCAGTCAAGTTCAGGTTTTTGGCAAAACTCATGAGTTTCCTTTCTTTTCAGTAAATTCCCATAGTTGATATATGTTATGCATTCTTTATTGGGTTTTGATAAATGATGGAAGGGTATGGGAGTTTAGTTGGATTGATGATTGATGGTTGGCAATCAATTCATTGATAAAAAAAAAAAAAAAAAAAAAAAAAGTTAAGATTTTAAGTGTTTGATAGTTATTGTGCCCAGTTCTTGACTGTATTAAGGAATTATCTTCACACAGCCAGGTTATCTACGCGGGCTCCTGCCAGAATCTGCACCTACTCACCCCGAGACGTTGCAGGATGTTCTTCAAGGTAAAGCTTTCCTGATGTTCTCTCGATCGAGTTATATATACTTATATGTACAAATATAGGGTTCCCTTTCTCGTTCAGCTGTTAGAATGACATTAACCGGGAAATGGATTAAAATTGCTGATTTTAATCAAATGATGAGTGATTGCAGATGTCCAGACGAAGATATTACCTGGAGTTACACATTGGCAAAGCCCGGATTATTTTGCATATTTTCCCTCTAACAGTAGCGTGGCTGGATTTTTGGGGGAAATGCTTAGTGCCGGAATAAACATGGTGGGTTTCAGTTGGATAACTTCTCCGGCAGCAACAGAACTTGAAATGATTGTTTTGGATTGGCTCGCAAAAGCACTCAAGTTGCCTGATACTTTTCTTTCGACGGGTAGTGACCTCATCCATTCAATGTAATAGCTTTACAGAACCTAAAACTGCCATGCATTATTGGCTTGTAAAATAATGCTTTATTTTTGTGCAACTTTTGAAATTGGCTTGCAGGTGAAGGTGGCGGAGTGATACAAGGCACTGCAAGTGAAGCTGTTCTTGTTGTGCTTTTAGCTGCTCGTGACAAAATTCTGAGAGCAGTTGGAAAAGAGTTGATAGGGAAGCTCGTTGTTTATGCTTCTGATCAGACTCATTCTGCTTTACAGAAGGCCTGCCAGGTAAAATTGTTTTTCCACACGGGTGCCTGGGATATTGTCTCATTTATCTTATTTGATCACTGCTGAAATCTTATTACTTACTCTATGAGATGAGATGTGCATATTTTTATATAAAGCTAATGAAAGACTCACCTTTTTGATGAACAATGTTGTTGTTAACCTTGAACTTGTTCTGCCCTTGTTTAATTCAACATAATGTTATTTTCTTGATTTTGGCAGATAGCAGGAATACATCCAGAGAACTGTCGTTTTCTAAAGACTGACTCATCTACTGAATATGCTCTTTCTCCCAACTCAGTTCGTGAAGCGTTATCCCAAGACTTAGCCGCTGGTCTAATCCCCTTCTTCTTGTGTGCTACTGTAAGAAATAATGCCAAAAAAAAAAAAAAAAAAAAAAAAAAAACGACATTCATCCATGCTTCTTGCTATCTCATGCACTCCATTACATTATTGGAAAATGTTTTTCCCTTGGGTTTACCAAACTATCATTCATCCACCTTTTCAACAACAATTCTATACTCAAACAAAGCTGCCTCTAAACTAGCTAGAGGAGAACCGCTAAATTTGTGAAGCCCTAATGAACTGTGCTTTTATAGATTTTCAGTGTCTTTATATCATGTGACTCAATAATTACGATGCACTGAGTAACTTTGTTTGGTGGTTCTCCTTCAGGTTGGTACTACATCGTCAACTGCTGTTGATCCCTTACTTGCACTTGGGCATATTGCAAAGGTAATGACCGCGTATCTCATGTAAGACAACAATTATGGTTCAAATGGTTTGAGCACTCAACTCTTTCGCTCTTGTTTATCTGTACATTTTTTGCTCTTTTTTTTCTTATTTGTAGTAATATGATAAGCAAACAATCTAATTGTTATATCCGAACTCTAGTCAAATTTTAAATGGTGGATCTATATGCCTAAGTGGGCAAGAATTTGAATTTCAGGTAGTTTTCCTGGACAGTGATACACTGATTACCTTAGACCTGAGCTAATTGGCAGTGGACTTGGACACATGGTAACATATTGCTAGGAGTTCATGTACTTTGACAAGTATTCAACATTTCCAATTTTAGATACCACAATAATTTGACTTGAAATTGCAGGGCATCTGGTATTAATTAGTGGTTCATTGACTTTGTTATAATCTAAGATTGGGCTAGGGTCACTCAACTGGACTATAATGCACATGGGCCAAACCACACTAAAAGATTGAATGTCTAACTCATGGCCTTATAAACCTATAGACTCTTAACAGACTTAATGTAGTCCAATCACAAACACAAAACATGAATGTTGTGACGGATAACCTATTATTGTCAATTTATGATGGTTGGATTACATATTTAGATTACTTTTTGAATTTTTCATTTATCTTTCAAAATGGTGAAATCCAGTTGCTCTAGAAACTGTGAGTAATTTTCAGATATTATCGAGATGAACTTAAAAATAAAAAAATAAAAATAAAAAACGTGTCTTTTATAGAGTAATGGCATGTGGTTTCATGTGGATGCTGCTTATGCTGGAAGTGCTTGCGTGTGCCCTGAGTTCCGCCACTATTTGGATGGCGTAGAAGAAGCTGACTCATTCAACATGAATGCACATAAATGGTTTCTTACAAACTTCGACTGTTCTGCACTTTGGGTAAAGGTATGCACATTTGTCTTGACATTATCGTGCCATCCTGAGTTCTCGTGTTATCATGCCACAGATGATATTCTTAGTTTTTTCTATTGCTGTCGGCCCGTGGCTATATGATGGATGAATGTGAGCTTGAAAATGTTGCCAGAGAAAAGCTTGTGGCCTTGTTTGGTAAATGGCTGTTAGCTGTTAGCTGATTGGGTTAATTAGAGGGTATAACTAGTTGATAACATTAGCTGATTGTAGAAAGGTGTTTGGTAAATTAGCTGTTAGCTGATAGCTGTTTGGTATAATTTCTTTTCTCAAAAAGCTAATTGAAAAAGTTGCTTTGAGTAGCTTTTTAAATTTTAGCATTTTGGAATACAAAAAGCTAATTAACCAAACACTTATATATTGATTTTTAAACCAAGTCAAATAACCAATAGTAATCAAATAGGCCAAAATTGGTCTATAGGTTAACTATTTTACCAAACAGGGCCTATATTAGATAACGTTACTTGGATGAACAATAACTTATGCTCTCTTATGAACAGGACCGGAGTGCTCTCATTCAGGCGCTGTCAACTAATCCTGAATTTCTCAGAAACAAAGTAAGAATCTTTCGACCGGAGTTCAATATTTTCAGAAACTATTAGTGATCCCATACTGTGGATGTATAATATTTCAGGCTTCTCAAGCAAATATGGTTGTAGATTACAAAGATTGGCAAATTCCCCTTGGACGCAGGTTCAGGTATGCTGTCACATGTTGATGTTTTTTTTAATGTTTTTGTTGATTCTGGGATTTCACGAAAACGTTTTAAAGATTCATATTAACCGTTACATTTGTAACAAAACTATTATTGATTTTGTGGTATTAACCAGATCACTGAAACTATGGATGGTATTAAGACTCTATGGCTTGGAGAACCTTCAAGCGTATGTGAAGAACCATATAGAATTGGCTAAACGCTTCGAAGAGTTTGTTTCCGAGGACTCGAGGTTTGAGGTAAGAACTATACTTGTCTAGTGCCTTCTAGAAATCATGCATGTAAGAAAACGTAATGATCTTCCTCGGGTAGTGACCGCGGGTTTTCCTCGTCATCCAAAAAGAAAATTGAAGCATGTGGTCCATCTCAACTAAAAGCCTAAGTTGATAGTTGGATTGCACATTAATGGTTATATGCTCAACACGCCCCGTCACGTGTGCGGTGGGTTCCAAGCCTAAGCTGATAGTTGGATTGCACATTGATGGTTATATGCTCAATAAAGAAAACATAATAATCTCAATATTAAAATGTTATTTTCATGTTGCATCACGGCCAATAACGTATCTTAAAACCTTCTATCGTTTCCCAGGTTGTGGCGCATCGAAAGTTTTCTCTAGTGTGCTTCCGTCTTCGGCCACCTCAGAACGACGAAGATCTTGCAAACAAACTCAACCGCAATCTGCTGGACGCTGTCAACTCATCTGGAAAAATATTTATCTCACACACCGTACGGTCAATTTTACGATTCCTTTCTTCCCTCGGTGACCTCGTTTCATTTGCCTTGCGATAGCGTTAACTGCAAACGATCCAACCGTGCAGGTTCTATCCGGCAAATACGTTCTGCGCCTTGCGGTCGGGGCTCCGCTGACGGAAGAGAGGCATGTGATTGCAGCCTGGAAAGTTTTGCAAGATGAGGGTGCTGCTGCTTTGTTGAGAAACTCTTCAAAGATGACCAATTCTTTTGCATAGAGGATTGATTCTCTGCTCCAACCAGTTTATCCATTCAGATTGTCTGCAAATTTTACTCTTCATTCACAGATTTGCTGTTGAAGTACTGAAATTCTTGTGTAATTCTTTGGCAATGGATGAATACTATTGCACATTGTATTAAGATGTTAATATTCATACATCATGTAACTAAGTATTCACTTTTTATGCAATTTTGCGGTTTGGGCAGGCAAAACTGGTTGAGAATATATATATATATAAAGAGAGAGAGAGAGAGAGAGAGGGTGGGGTGTGGCAAAATTGGTTGAGAAGGCTAATATATAAGTAAGATGTTGAGGTTTAATGAACTTTTTTTGTTTTTTTAAACCCAAAAACAACTGGGGGGAATCATATCCCACACTTCAAAACAAAAGATGAAACAACTGTCTGCACAGAAACGTGAGCAATTTGGTTCGTTGACCTTCTAACATGGCTAACGATAGCGTCACTAATGTCATTAGCAATAACATGACATTGCTTCAGAATTAAACCTACATACGACAAATCATTAGAGACAAAACTATAATTACCTACATACGACAAATCATTAGAGACAAAACTATAATTACCTACATACGATAAATTATTAGAGACAAAACTATAATTGGAGTAGAAACTCAAACAATCCGACTTCAAAGTAATTGGAGTAAAACTCAAACAATCCGACTTCAAAGTAACATGAGAGACACTGCGACTCTTCAACCATGAAAGTGCTTCCGGAACAGCTATTGTTTCAGCAACAGTCCAGCATAGGCCGCAATAAACTTACCTGCATGGTCTTGGATCAAAGGCCCATGTTGAGGTTTAATGAACTTAATTACTATGTTATGGGGCGTTTGGTAAATAATTGTTAGTTGATTGTATTAGTGGATTTGACTTGTTGATAGCATTAGTTGATTACATACAAAATAACTTTTTTAAAAAATTGATTGAAAAAGTTACAAAAGTTAATTAATCAAATACTCATATTAATTGTTTAACCAAATTCAATCATTAATAGTGGTTAAAATTGACTAATAAGTTAATTATTTTATTAAAGAGGGCCTAAATGTTTTTGACTGATTTTTTTTTTTTTTTTTAACTCACTAATCACATTTTTTTTTTTTTATATAGAGTAATATTTAAAATGAATGAATTACAAAAACGATTCTCTATTTTCACAGGCCTTTGCAGCAAACAGCAATTCGCAATCGCTTTCTCCCAGAGCTCAGCGCAGACGAAGAACAATGCAGGCCGTTACGAGGCGTCTAGGGCAACAATCTTTAAACCCGTCTTCACCTTCAATTTCAGCTCTCAAGTCTTCCTATCTCCTCTCCGATCAATGTACCCGCCTCTTGTCTTAGGGCTAATTCATGTAATCATTGGTATTTTTGTTAAACCATTCTGCAATTTTCATTTTGATTTCAGGCTATGGAATTGGAACCCCGCGCTATGCATCGACCCTCACTGCCAAAGGCACTGGACACATAGTTCGCAAGGGAACTGGAGGGAGATCATCTGTGAGGTAATGCCCACTGCCCAGTCCCAAAGCTCGGATTTTTGGTCTGATTTGTTTTTAGTTTGCCTGAAATCTTTGGTCTGATTTGACGCCAATTAGAACTAATAAACCCAATCTGACAATTGCAGCTGTTTGGATGTTTGATATGTTTTCAGCTTGAGTTGTGTTTCTGTTGATATTATTGTGCAGCTCAAGAATTTGTACTTGTTTGGCTTAATTTCTCTTTCTTTTTATTCTATTTTTTCTTGGAAGTTTTTGTTCTGAAGTCAGAATTGAAATGTCAGCGGAACTTTAGATGATAGATTTTTAATTTTTAGTTTTTGTGTTATCCAACCTGCTGATCGAATAGAATGTGTTGTTTATGGCAGTGGAATTGTTGCTACAGTGTTTGGGGCAACAGGATTTCTTGGGCGGTACCTAGTGCAGCAGCTTGGTAAAGTGCTAATCACCTTTTCCTTCTAGGTTTTGGTTTGGCAGTTGGTGTTCAATAGTAGATTACTCCGTATATAGGTTCTACCATTATGCTCATATGTGTTTGATGTAAAAGCTAAAGGAGTCATCTTTTGTTGAAATCACAGAAATTCCTGTTTTAGAATTTCTAATTATCTGCAGTTTGTGTCTACAGCTAAAATGGGTTCTCAAGTTTTGGTACCTTTCCGAGGATCTGAAGATTGTCATCGTCATCTCAAGTTAATGGGTGATTTGGGTCAGGTAGATAAATTTTGCTCCTTCAGTAAAAAATCTTACTTGTTTTAGAAGATATAGATGATGTGGTGTGACTTCCCCATGATGATATTCTGGTTCTCCTTGTTTTTTCTATACAGATTGTTCCAATGAAATACAACCCCAGAGATGAAAATTCAATAAAAGCAGTGATGGCAAAAGCTAATGTTGTTATCAATCTTATCGGTGTGTGCTCTATGATTATCAACCAATTGTCCATGATATTATGGATACTTTCTTGGAAATATCCAAAAAAATTATTTTTGTTATAGCTGTTTCACACATCAAGTATATGGTTATCAGGAAGGGAGTACGAGACAAGGAATTACAGCTTTGAGGAAGTCAACCACTATATGGCTAAACAGCTTGCTTCAGTAGGTTTCTGCTCTTACTGCAGTATTCATAACTCTGTTAATCTATTTTCATGAATCCCTTTGACTACTACTCATATTTAATCATAGACATTTCAACTTTGAAGTCTATAATGCTTGAATCTCTCTTGAACTTGTGATGACAAAAAACTTATTGAAGATTTTGGTGGAATCTATGATTATAAGTCATGAAATAATTGATTTTTCTTTATAAGCATACTTTTTTGAAGTCATACATCTTCATGTCTTTTCTTATTATTTGCTAATGTAATACGTTCTTCTCTTATATTTGTAGATTGCCAAAGAACACGGTGGAATTTTGAGATTTATACAGCTTTCAAGTTTGGGGGCATCTCCAACATCCCCATCCAGAATGCTTAGGGCTAAAGCTGCAGCTGAGGAAGCTATTATACAAGAAATTCCCGAGGTAAACATTGTACTTTGTGTAGGTTCTCCTTGAGCCATGTTGCGCCTGCTGTATTCAACTGATAATGCTATTCTTAGCTGTCTTTCTTTGGAATTTTGGATGATATAATATGTAATGATTTTGCTCATTTTCTACTCTTTTTTATTTAACTTTACTGCATCTCTACCTTTGCCTCATTTTCTTTATTATGAGCTTATTGCAAAAAAATGGATATGCTTTTGACACATCAAAGTAGGCACCATTGGAGTTGTATTTACATATTCATGTTTCACTATTCTCGTGGATTATCAATGAACTATGCAAACTGCAGTTTGCTCATTGTTGATCTTAGTTTCTCCGTGTTACTGAAACAAAGTTATTAATGTGCTCACACATCTTCAGGCAACAATATTGAAGCCTGCTGTAATGATTGGTACTGAGGATCGAATTCTAAATCCTTGGGCACAATTTGCGAAGAATTTTGGCTTTATCCCTTTAATTGGAGATGGCTCTACAAAGTATGTCGATATGCAATATCTCTCATTACTATTGCCAACAATTTACGAGCTTCTGATGTCATGTTCTTTACATGGTTTTGCAGAATCCAACCTGTATATGTTACTGATGTTGCATCTGCAGTTATTGCATCACTGAAAGATGATGGTTCCAGCATGGGAAAAGTTTATGAACTTGGTGGACCGGAAATTTACACTATGCACCAATTGGTGAATCTTCAACCTCCACTTCCTCCCTCTTCCTTTCTTTAGTCAGTTATTCTTTTTGAGTGAAAATTAGTCTTTAAGGTGAGAGTTTTACTGAAGTTGTTTCGCTGCAGGCAGAGCTTATGTATGACGTGATCCGTGAATGGCCTCGCTATGTTAAGGTTCCTTTCCCTATTGCTAAGGTGAGTATCTGTGAATGGATTTCATATTTTGTTTCTAAAGCACCCCAAATTTTGTCCGTTTCTTCTTTAGATGGAAGCTCTGTTCTGATACTCATGTTTTACGCATTCCAAATTGTGGTTTTCAGGCAATTGCTACACCTCGAGAAGTACTGCTCAAGAAAGTTCCCTTTCCATTGCCAACTCCCTCAATATTTAACCTGGATTTGATTGAAGCCCTTACCACTGATACTGTTGTGTCAAAAGATGGTTTGTGCCCTTACCAATAATTATGTGATTTTAAATTTTATAACCTTATGATGCCCAAATCTCGAAGAACTGTCTCATACGGATTTCTCATCTCAAACTTCCCAATTGTTTTGCAGCTCTGACATTTGATGATCTTGGGATTGTCCCCCATAAGCTGAAGGGCTATCCAGTTGAGTATCTTATCCAATATCGTAAAGGTGGACCTCAATATGGTTCAACAGTTAGTGAAAGAGTATCCCCCGAGTCTTATCCATGAGGTCCTTCACATCTTCAGTTTGAACATTTTCCGTTGTTAGAACAGGTATTCGTTACCTTAATCAACCCAGCACACTCAAATTCCCATTGATGAACATAATTTTTAATTCATCAAACAATATGGTTATTCTTGTCTGTTTGCCAGAACTCTTCCCTGTTTGCTCGAGTCAAACAAGGGAATAATAAAGACATGGAGAATTCTTCTTCTTCAGCAACCTGATAACCCGTACAGCGCTGATAAACTCTCTACCTAGCTGTGTGGTGCTTGACCAACACCGAGGACTTTTAGAGAAATGAATGTATAATTGCGCCTAACGTTTTGATGGCTATTGTACCTTCTTCCATTTAATTTCCTCTGCATTATTTCCTTTTTGACGATCTGTGCATGAAGGTCACATGGGGAACAAAATGATATCCCTTCTCTTACAAGTTTGCTATGCTGTCACTGTTGTTATGCCAATTGAGATTCATATTTATGTTTGCATTTGCTAGGGTTCAATGGGACTTGCCTCATGGCTAAAATGTTCACCTTTTCTTTTGAAATTCTTGAAATAAATATATCCATTGTGTTGACTGTTGAGGGAGCTCTTACTTAATATTATCCAAATTAGAGAAGGCAATTTTGGTTGTTCACATTTCTATCTATCCAAATTGTCAAATTTAACTTGTAAATCAAGTGTGAAAGAACAACTTTATTTCCTCTCTCTCTCTCTCTCTCTCTCTCTATATATATATATATATATATATATATATATATATATATATATATATAGGGGGTTCCTGTGAGAACAGGTCTTTCCATGCGGTCAATGCGGCATACACCATTAGGTATGCATAAATGCACCAGTGTTTGAAAATACATCATCCATTATGTGTGGTGTATTTTTTTTTATTTTTTTTTGTGGTGTATTTTTGACATTTCATTCTGGTGTATTCTCGAACACTGTATGGTACATTTATGCATACCTAATGGTGTATGCCGCACTAACTGCACGGGAAGACCTGTTCTCACAGGAACCAAAATATATATATATATATATACACTAGTTACCACACGCGCATTGCAATTTCTGTTCAAAAAGAGTATCATTCACAACCAAATCACTAACATCACGTTTGGTTCAGAAAGGGTATCATTCTTTATACTTGTAACTTAGTTTTTGTCTAGACCTCCAAATTTTCACCTATGTCATTAAGTCATTCCAAGGGAACATCTGCTTTACTTGTGAAAGGAGAAAAGCACCCTCAACTCATTCTTTAATTGAAGGATTTGTACCTAAAGCAAGAATGCCCTCTCCCCATTCAACACCCCAAAACATTTTCTAATATCAATCCCACCAAACCGATCTGATTCATGTCCTCGAGAGGCGAGTTTGGGTCGTTTGAGGATGTCAAGATGGAGGGGACCAACGTCGGGGCAACGATGATCGCCCGCCGGACATGCTCGGGCGACTCCCGGGACAGCTGCTGCATAAACATTTACATCAGCAACAACGTTCAAGGCGTGAACAACTCCATCCTGGTCGGGAGCAGTGTCAGACTGAGAGATCCCGGGGTCAGCTTCTCCATCGATGGCTTAACTTTCCGGACTGAATCTCTGCAAAGAAAGAACAGACTAAGTGACACAGCTGTGGCATTCTCTGTGGTTTTGCTTTCTGCAGCTTTGATCATCTCCCTGTTCTTGTCTCTGTTTCTTTAGCTAAAAGTCCCGAGCTTTTGTTGAATCTGACACACATTTATGTAATGCAAAACAATTTTCTAAACATAGTAATATAAGCAGGATGAAGAAATGATTGCCAGCAGCAAAACTGTGTATTGACAAGGATGTTTTAATGTTTTTTCGAGTTCACTCTTTCAGTTTGCCTTACAAATTTGAAAGTGAAAATGAATGGCTTCATTTTTTGACGAATGCCAGGCCATTAGCGTTAGCATAGCGCTCCATGAATCTCATGAACCTGTCCCATTCCCGAGGGTTCCTCATGATGTACTTAGCTTCGATCCCTGCAGGTTTCCCGTTCACAAACTTGGCATTCACATCGACTGACTGGAGAACCCCTTCTTCGTCGATCATGTAGAACCCAGTAATGTCACCGACTTCCTGAGACGAGTCAAAAACCGAGGGTTGGCTGAAATTGAATATGGCCATGCCATTTGTTCCATCCCGGGATTTCGTTAGTTTAACATCTGGTACTGTCTGCTCATCCGTTCCTTGTATGAACTGAATCGATGGTTTTACCATCATTATTGTTAGTCTGCTAGGTGTTTTTCGGGTTTTTGTGGAGGAGGAAATATGCAAACGAGGCAGGTACAGTGGCTGACCACTGAACGTGGAGCGTGGTTTTTGATGAATAACTCCAGATGCCATACCTGCATAACACACAATATATTTTACTCGCAAATTTCCCAGTCAATTGCCATGACAGTTCTTCGAATTACAATGCAGAAACAGTGTATCTGATCTAATATGCAGCGTCTAAAAGCTTAGGCCACGTCCCCTTACGTGCGCCAGCCGATTACTTTTTGATGGGCTCCAAGCAACACGTGAACCATAGTCACTTTTTTATCAGGTGACTTGGAGATTCGAACCCAATGTGCTACATCTCAACTAAAAGCCTAAAACTAATAGTTGGATTGCACATTTATGTTTATAAATTATATATTATATGCTCAACACATCCCACAGGTTGAGACTAATCTAGTTGAGCCTCGCTCGGTCAGTTCTCTCCCCTTCCAATTGAACTAACCCTTCTTGGTAACTTCTCCTAATTTTCACAAGAATAAAATGGGCATTTCTCTTTCATAATCAAATCACATTCTTTAGTGATAATAGGTTCAATTCTCAACTTCTCTTTCATAACCAAATCCACATTAGTTGTCTATCCATCACAAATTCACAATATTTCATCATTCATTACTACATTTACATTGAACAGACATTGCAGAGGTATATATAGGGTTTACTATACAAAACCATATGAAAACACAATTTCCTTAAAGGCATTGCTATTAGACAATCAGTTCTCAGGTTTAACATGCAAATGCAAAATGAAACAATAATTCCATCCCAACAATACCCATTTTAAGGATTTTAAAGAAAGTGCAGAAAGACTACAACTTTACACCAAAATGAACTGACCCACAGAGAATAAATTACCTAGAGCAAACCGAGGCTGATGGGAATGTGAACATGGAGGAGAGAAAGCAAGGGACTGTAGTGTTGCCATTATGTGCGGTGAGAGAGAGAGAGAGAGAGAGACAGTGGAGGAGAAAGAAATATAAGATTTTAAGAGAGAGAGAGAGAGAGAGATGATGGGGTGGTGGACAGTGAAGTAGTGGTGTCATAACCACAGCCATTCATAAAACAGTCTTGGCTCTGGAAAGGATTGAAATGGTTGATGGTGGTTGATTGACCCTCCAATATTACTTATTCATTATACATTAGCTTTTCACCAGATTAATCCTAAGTATCTAAAAGCTTCTGTTCAAGAGTTGTTGGATGAGATAAATCGCAAGTGTTTCATTAATCTCTAGGTCTTCAAATTTCTAACTTTTACATGTACACTCTGTACACAAAAGGTCTTTGTCTCGAAATTTTTAACTTTTATATGTACGCTCTGGGCACAAAAGGTCTTCGTCACTTTTAAATTACTGGGCACATTAAACAGACATTGAGCTCGAGTTTAGCTCGAGCTCGAAGTTGACCGAATTGGAGCTAAGTTTTGACGGAGCAGCTCGCGAGCGTCTTGGCTCATTTACAGCCCTACTATTGATTGATCAAAGTCTTTCAATAATCCTTAATTTTTCAATAAGATTCAAATCCCACACTATTACTAAAGTAAGATATTGGATCTGTCGAACTAACTGAGCTAGCTATGTGGGACCCCAAAATTTTATTATGGCTCTAGAATTGGGCCTCTTTCTTCTCAAATGGTGTGTGCAAGAGCCCAAGCAACTCCCATGTTATATCCTTGTCTTGGTCTTTCAGCACCTGCTGTCCACGACCAAACATTGTCGTTTTCTCCCATGAACATCACTGCAACAGTGACAAATGAGCCATGGAACTATGATCAACATATGTGTTGGAACTTCTGAACAACATGTTTATCACAAGCATAACAGAGTAACTGATTTTCTCGTTTGAGCATATTATCAATGAATATAACTGTAATAGTGACAAATGAGGTCGGAACTTTGACAAATACGGGCCATTCAGTTGGCACATATTTATCACAAGCATAACAGAGTAACTGATTTTCTTATCAGTAACGAAACAAATGTGACGCAATAGTGAAAAATGAGCTAGGCTCGCGATTATGATCACCATATCTTGGAACTTTAACGAATACATATAACAGAATAATAGATTTTCTTATTAGTAACGTTTATTGAGGTCACCCCTCTTCTTGATCCAAAAAAACACGCACGAAACGTATAAAACTAACATCTATACAAGTAATTAATAAGCATATCATGTAACCATTAAATCAATCAATGGAAGAGAGAAATTTTATGCACCAGAGAGAAGGCAACAATCAACAAAGAACAGTAAAAGTGGAAATTTGTATTATATGATTCATAAACAACATGAAGGTTCCAATACATAACCATCTTGCAAAACAGTATTTAATTTCCTCTTTCTCAGAGTGTAAAAAGCTCAAAAATGCACCAAAATGGCACTTCCATACTTACAACAGCACCAAGCAAACTCGATATTCTGATGATGTATTCCACAGATGATGACTTGCCTGTATATTCCCGAGGGTACGCAAAACAAATAATAATAATAATAATAATTAATATAAGCAAAATAAACGCCTTGAGGTTTCAACAAAAAGTTGGCAATCCAGTATGCTTCTATCAGTTGTTCTAGTAGAACTCATATCAGCTTAGTCCTTGGTCTCCCATTCCTTTCTTGATGCATAGTTGGAGCTGCAGTGCAGAAAAGACGAAGATGATGATCAAGAAAATGTTTTTTTTTTTTTTTGTTAGTGTCGAAATGAAGTAAGAATTGCGTTTTGGCCTAGTTCGTACCTATTCCCAGCCCATTGGCCTCGGATTTTCTCACGATCCTCAACCTCTTGACCGAGCAAACGAATATCCTGAAAGAAATCGCACAGCAGTGTTACCAAGTGTGTAAATATGGTCATTCTGTAATCCCCGTTCCCCTCAAATGTACTAAGAAAAAAATAGGCTGACGAAAAATTAGAAAGGGTAAGTTTTTAGGTGAATAAGAAACGTACTCCCATGGAACGTCTCCAACAAGCATCCAGTCGCCGTCTTTGTCTTCATAAGTAAGCACGAATTCAGATGATCCATCCAACGGTCTCGGGCATGCAGCTGCATCTGTCATAGCGTTTTTCTCTTCACCTGATAGAGGAGAAATATTACGATTGTTGGCAAATTGAAAGTTTAGCATCAATTGTAACCTCGACTTTATTGAATATATTTAGCAATTTCACTTCTAAACTTGTTTACTATTCGTAGTCTTCTAGCACTTATTTATAGGGTTTTGTATTCTCTTTTCTATATGACAGTATAAGACAGTATACGACAGCACATTCAGAAACTCTCTCTTTACTTTCGTAACAAACTACTTACATCTTGTGTGGCCCGTTGTGGTGGGCATAAAGAACATCTCGTCCAAGGTGCCCGCTAAGTCCTCGTAATTGGCATGAGCACCGAGGTCCACCTTCCTCCCGATCATAACGCCATCCATATTCACCTTCACATACAAGGACGCCTTGACAAAACTTTTATCCTTAGCTTCGCCGTTTATCTTGCCGCCACCTCGGGCGTTGTCCACAACAATGACTTTGCTCTTGCTTTTCTCGACGGTGGACGAGGAAAACTCTTCGGGAGATTTCGTCTGGCTGACTAAGCTGTTCATTCTATACGTTCTGATAGGAGGCCATCCCACAACCTGACTGCATTAGCAAATTCCCGCAAAAACGAAAAAAGCAACAAAATCAAAATCATTCTGAAACGATGCTAAGCGCCAAAAACAAACACCACAAGCCACAAGGCCGGGGAAAGTCCATTGTTCCAAATATGCAGTAAACCGAGTCCAAATTATAGTCCTTTCCTCCATAATCTTTCTAATGAGAGTATCTCGATTCGATCAGCTAACATTAAGGACAAGGATAGAACATAGGAAACACGAAAACAATAAACATCGAATCTGACTTAGGTGACAGCCTTCTTCTGTCTCCATTTCAGCAGATCTTATCTATAGTTATTAGATTCCTCAAGAATAATTAACCAATTATACTAATATTCCTGAGATCATATAAAGTAATTATGCATATAAAGAACACAACAGAGAAAAGGAAAGCTTCAATTCTCATCAGAATGGAACTAACATAAACAGTCATTACATAAAGAACACAAACATATGTTACATATCAATCTTGAATATAGAAATTTTAATCTGCAACTAACAAAACCAACAATTAAGGTTCAGAGCAAACCAAGACAACATATTTATATGCAAAAACATAACCTTGAAATTCATGGTATAATAATCAAATGAGATTAAACAGAAAAAAGGGTACAAAAAAGAGGTATACCTGACACCAGAACGGGGAGGGGAACGAGAATCTGCAGCTCTCTTGGTGCCACAAGAAGCATTATTGTTGGCTTTAGTTGCAGAAGAACATGAAGATGAAGAAGAAGACTTTGAAACCCCAGAAGGGAAATCCTCAGCTGTTAAGATCCTTCCATATTGACCCCAAGGAGCAGACTTTGAACTACCCAGACTCAACCCAAGGCCCAATTCAAGCCCAGACTCATCTGGGTGTGAAGAGGAAGAAGAAACTGTTGAGATTGAACCCCCAGAAAGGGCAGAAACCACTCCACCACCACCACTGTCCATCAATTCAAGAGTAGCAGAATCCATGGAAAACCCAGAAATCCCTGATTGAAGGGAGAACAAAAGAAGGGGAGAAAAAGAGAGGTTTTTGTTGGTTCTTAGCTGTTGGTGGGCAAGAAAAATGAGGGAAATGGTTGTGTGGGTGTGGGGTGAAGGAAAGTAGGTGTGGGTGTTGGAGTCGACAAAGAGGAGGGGAGTGGGGGAGGGTGGGCCCCACATGTCGGCTTTGTGCGCCTCAGTTCATCATGGGTTTCTCCAACCGGTACCCGCTGCCACTCTGGTCGCGCTGTTCGTCTGCAGACAAAAGTGCCCAAACAACCTTTGATTCTTGGTTGCGTTTCTCCCTCGTATTTCCTCCCATTGTATAATGTATACTACCCAACCACCATATCTTACTCATTTAATTTATACGGAGTATATTTTTATTCATAAATTTATGAATAATTATGATGTCTGAATTAAATATATTATATTTCTCCCCTACTGACCTACGGTTATAGAGAAATGTTTACCCCTCATAAATTTCTTATGTAATATTTACTTTTGATGTCATTTGGTGTTTATAAATTGACTGACATTATTTTATTTTTATTTGGATCATAAGAGAGGGGACACCCAAGAAATTCAGTAACGTCTAGGAATCGTTGCTCCCAGCTGATCATACCTGATTGCTTATGTTAAAACTCGCGGTGCTTCGGAGAGGACACGAAGGCCAATCTGATGGGCGAGTGCCGTCGTGGCCAAGCTGACTGTCACTTTGTTTTCTTCTCTGGGGATGTGCACAAAATCCAACTCCGATACTCTCTCAGCCTCTCGCAGGCATCTCCATATAATGTTATTGTCGAAGTCCTGCTCGCTCGGTGCCTTGCGGAGATTCTCGATAAGTCTCTTGGAGTCACACTCCAAAATGAGTTTAGTTGCGCCGTATTCCTTTGCCATTCGCAGACCATATAGAATCCCCCAAGTTTCCGCCTCAATCGTTTGACACAACCCTATATTAAAGGTGAAACCTCTGCACCAATTCCTTTGCTCGTCTCTTAGTAAGCCACCACATCCCGCCACACCACTACCCTTGCAACAACCATCAACTTTAAGCTTTAGCCAGCCGCTAGTCGATTTCAACCATCCCACCTGAGCAGTTGTAGGCGTCATGATTCCCCTCTCTGGATTCAGACGTTTTGCAAAAGCAGCTTTAACCTCCAGTTATAACGCGTAAGCCAGAAATTGACTGACATTATTACTATTTAAAAATAGAATTTAGCAATTAATTAAATAATAACACATCATGATAGTCGATAGATGAATAGGATGAAAAAAAAAAAGTAATGTGTAGCATTACTCTTATCAACATTTTACTCCCGTCATTTATAATTTACGTTCTTTATATTAACTTAATTTTAACAAATGAAAGTATATACTATTCAATTGACAAATTAAATTATGTAAATATTTACAAATATTTTTATTGTGTATATTTTTTTGGTGTAATTTATCACTCAGAAAATAACTGAGTAACCGTCGAAGGCTACAAAAAGTCTATCTTTCAGTATTACAATATTTTACCAATTCGCTTATCAATCAACCTAAATTTTTGAATTATCGTGGTGAAATATTTCAATTACTTTCTTAAACGCACTATGAGTAGCAAAGGCACAAAGCATTAGTTCCATACCGAGATAGCTTTGAATTGGGTAATACCAGATACCTTATCTTTTCGAACCCTAATAAGACATATTCTAATGGTAGTAAAAACACTTGAATAGACCTTAAATCTCTATATCAGTTGTCTCACTCAAAAGAGGTACTTACAATTCAAAAAATAGATTAATTACTGTGTTCGATAATGAAAACACGGAAAAAGAGTTAGCTTTCTAGAAATGGGCCAAACAAAAAGGGAGGAGGGCCCATTTCGTTAGCTTTCTAGAAATGGGCCAAACAAAAAGGGAGGAGAGCCCAGTATGGAAATGGGCCGTTGGTATAGAGGGATGACACTTGACAGGGACAGCTAAAGTGGGGCCAAGAGGTGTGGTTCCAAACGACAAGCCGACAAAGAGTGGGCCCCGGAAAAGCAGCAAATACAGTCACGTAATGCCCGCCCACCTTCTGGAAACTCTCATCTGCTCTCACCGCCTCCCATAACTGTGTACTAAACCTGGGACACGTGGATACAGATAAAAACGAATGGCTACACTTTTACATTTTTAACCCTATCCTATAATGATACCTTCCCTGTACACGTAGTGACGTTAACAACACAAGTCTCGACACATTTGGGTTTGGGGTGAGAAAAAACAAAAAAAATTCCAACCTCATCACAAATAATTGGGGGTTAGAGATTGGGTACAAGAGTCATTGAGTTATCGTGATTTATATCTTTTTAAATGTCATTATATATATATATATATATATATATATATATTATTTAAATTAAAACTTAAGTTTTTAATTTTTTAAATTGAAAACTACACTAATTTATTTTCTTTTTGATCAAATGCTTAGTAGGATAACAATAATAATAATAAATTAAAAAATAAAAAATACACATAACATCTTAATCATTACAAATTTATTAGTAACCTAATAAAAATGTTAATTGTACTTTTTTTGCAGGTTCATAAATTAATTTGGCATATGCTAATTCGGTGGCTTAATTGTTATCCCTAAATAGTTCAATGATCTATTTGTACTATTTTTCAAAAAAAAAAAAAAAACAAATACTAAGACGCGTTTAGAGCAATTTTCTATAAGCTGTGGTCCTAACCTGTCACTCCTGTACTGTGGTCTGTCCACAATGGATTCGGAAACTTTATATCTTTTCTTTTCTTTTCTTTTTTAATTTATATGGGAGGTGAAACTTTACAGGGAGAAGTGGGGTCCACGGGGAAATACAGGTCATAATTATAATTGCTACTCCGTATAAAAGATACGTCAAAGAATCATTTTTAATGTTTTTACTTTTGTTACATATATGCATGTTGAAGTGGGAGTGGCTATAGATATATAAAATAATAATTTTGCATATTAATAAACCATTGTCGGGTGTAAGATGGACCGTCGTCTCAATGGTCGACCAGACACCATTTGATACAGTCTAGGTCAACTGGTCAACTGCTAAACTTCCAGTTTAATTAACATCAACTTTTGTTTTTGTCATTAAAACATGTCTCTCCATTTTTCCACCATCCACTTGTATGTAACAAACTAGGTTTGGCTGTCTTAGTTTGACTCTAAATTTAAGTAATATTTGTAATATATTATGAAAATGTGTTGAACTGAGTGAGAAGTTTTAGTTGTTTAAACGTGAATAAGTTAGAAGTTTAAACTCATGTATATGTAGTAATAAATCGTTGTATGTATCACAAAAATAAACAGTTAAGATTAGTGTAGATTATATTATAGTATTAACAGTCAGGGACGTAATCAGAAATTTAGTTGAGGGGGCGAAGAAGTAGGGACAGATTCAGAAATTTTTTCAGTAAAGGTGAAACATTAAAACAAAAGAGATAATTTTAAAAAAATAAATATATAAATTATCTAAGAAATATTGTTGGATATAGGCGAAAAATAACGAAACTTTATAAAAATATTCATAACAAAATATGAAGCATAATTAATTTGATAAAACAATTTGAATAGAAAACACATTATAAATGACAAATCTCATTATTAATATAAAAGAATATTATATATAATATGTGTGTGTATTTAATATTAAAAAAACCTACTAAAAACACTGTAAAAATATGTTAACGCCAAAGGATTCAAACCCTTGACCTTTACAATTACCAAACATGTGCTCCACCAACCAATCTAACTCATTCTTGTTGACATCTAATAATTTTTTTTATATACTAATACTAAAACTTGTACTATATATACATACAAAAATTATATATGGGATGGCGTGGGGTGGGGTGGGGTGAGGGGGGCAGCCGCCCCCTGCCCCCGGCTCCGTCCCTGTTAGCAGTTAACTAGGTTAATTGTAGTGTCGTGAATGGTCACAACGAGTGATTCTGTAGTTTCACTTTTGGAGTTGATTTTTTTCCCAAACTTAATAAAATAGAATTGTTAGGATGACAAAAGAATAGGCTATGTGAACTAAGAAAGTGTGATAGGTTGATGTCGCTAAGATTAATAAGAATGTAAAAAAGATGAAATCCTAATAAGAGCATCCTTATCCGTGAGCATATTAGGGAGAAATTGTAAGAGTGATTAGGAAAGAGAATGTGGGAGGGGAGAAAAAAAAAATCAAAACTGAATTTAAAAAAAAAAAAAAAAAAAAAAAGTGAATGTCACGCGCCCGGCTGTGGGCCAAACACGCAGAGTTCTTTTTTTCCCATTCTCTCCACCCCTTGCAGGCCAATTCTTCCCCACACTAGTTATTAACCTCACCCAAGAGAAAGCATCTTACATTATCCCCTTATTGTGAATAAGTTCATCAAGTGGGACAATCAAGAAGTTGATTAATAGAGACCCCACCTAAGAGAAAGCATTAAGTTCATCAAGTGGGACAATCAAGAAGTTGATTAATAGAGACCCCACTCAAGAGAAAGCATTAATAGAGAAATTAATTCGAGTTCATGGCCTTTGGTTTGGCTTTGATACCAGTGTTCCATCTCAACTAAAAGCTGGAGCTGATAGTTAAATTGTACGTTAATGGCTATATGCTGAGCATATCCATCATGAGACAAACACATATGCTAACTAGTTGTCAAACTTTTACGATCATTTAGATCTCTAGATTTTGAAAGACCATTCTCAAAGAGATTAGACCCTCATGAGACGTTTTGTTCACGGAATCTTAGATTACCCAAGTAATAGGATTACTTTTAGAAAGGTAATGTGAGATTTTAAAAATATAAAATTACATTATTTGTTTAGTTTAGATTATGATATATAATATTACTTTGTTTAGTTAAGAGTTATATTTTACATTATATGGATCAATTTCCTATAATGTCCTCATAATATATATATAATAGAAGAAGAAAAACTATATTAAGTAATCATCACCGAAATAATATCTACATCAAACCAGATAAAACGCCTAGTTCGAGCCACCTCCATCTTGGCTAAGATGCGGATGGCTTGATTACGGCTTCTACAAACAAAACGAACCACACAACCGATTAAAGACTCTAACACCTGTTTACAATCACATATAATCAATCCAACATAAGAACGGTCTTCCTTAAGAGACCATGCTTTCGCCATCCTGGGATCGAAGGTGCACTATAATGGGCCATTAATGGCTGCCACGAACGAACCACCCCCCGTCGTGAGGAACAATATACATGAGGTTACAAACTTACAACAAATCTTCTGTCTGCTAACCTGATCTACAATCAGTGTGGGAGTCTGATAGAAACATGGAAGCTATGGAAATGGAAAAGAATTATACACTGAACAATGGCATAACAAAAAGTTACCATCTCTCATCCCCTACCCAATTGTTTTTCTCCTTCGGCCCGGAAGGACCTTCTTCCCCAGACAATTCCAAGGGCAGCTTACTAAAGATGTTCAGCGCTGAAAACCTAAGCGTTAGAGGTAAACGATTGGCAGCCTTATTAAGTTCGTTCCTTGAATCATATACGATGGTTGGACCCCACTCCCTCATGTACTGCAACCAACCTGGCTCCCGAACAACTCCCCGCCCTAGATACTCTGCTGCAACGATTTCGTACTGGACGCTAGAATCTACACAATACTGACTTTGGGCAGCATCGTTCCTAATTCCAATCCCGAGCATTGAGGAGCCTTGGAGGTAGACACCCGCGTGAGGATAGCTAGCGTGGCCATGTTTGGACGAGTATACAACAGCTTTGTTCCCCTCGATGAACTCCAAATCGTATACATCCACCCATTCACCGCCACTATGCTGTGAAAAGTATATGCTTTGCAGCTCTCCGTTAAAATTGCTCACCCTGAGTGTGAAATGCTCCCAATCGCCCACATGCTGGCCAACTTTGCCCAGAGCCAAGTTCATTATGCCAATCTTTAGAGTGGCTGGACCGTTGAAGGGACAAAAGACCCACATTGCTATATCAGTGAACGTACCACCTAAGGCTGGCTTTACGTGAACGTAAAGTTTTGCACTTTGTATGTTTCCATGCTTGATAGTCGCTAAACGACCATCCCTAGGCAAATCTATCCAATATTCCCTATCATTTGATCCACCGGCAGGTAAATTGGAGCCTCCAGCGTCAATGCTCTTGCCATTTGCATCACCAGCTTTGTACAGCAACGCTCCATTTTCAAAGAACCAGGACACAGAAGATGGAAGGTAGATCTCATCTGGATGAAAAAATACGGTGGGACCGTAGTGCCTGATGAGTGCGTGTATCTGATCAAGATTTGGCATTGCATGCAGATTAGGGTCAAAGTTCTTCAAGCATACGATATCTAGCTCTTCCCTCAAGGTCAAATAGTCGGTGCAAAAAAAGGTACCAACTGAAACCCCTTTCCCTCGCATTCCTCTATCACAGGGCCGTGTACTCCAGACCATAAGAGGTACTTGAGAAAACTCAGAAGTGGTTTTTAGTATCATGCGGTAGGTTTCACATCGATCAGTGAGGTCATTTCGCACACACTTAACTTCATCTAGTTCAGGCTTGGCAGGCTTGTTGGTCACCACAAAACCCAAAGCTTTATAACCTTCCGGTGGTTGAGGTGACCAGAAGTAACCAGACGCAGCAAAGTCATCCTCGCTCTCATCATTCGAACTCCAAACTAACGTATAGTCCAAGGGGTTCCGGAGAGCTGGAATATACTTGGAGGTGTGTGGATGAGGTTTAGCCACTTCACAAACTGCTAGAACAAAACCTCGCAACGGCTTTACATTAAGTTGGGCATAATAACCAAGATTGGAAAACCCTTCTGGCAATCCAATTGGTTTATAAAAGCTAACACCTCGCTTCCCACCCTGTGGCAAATTGCTTCCCCAAATAAACTCAAATCTCGTGATCTGGCAAACCTCTAGCTCACCCAATCTTATTACTCCAGTACCAAACCCTGTGCCTGATCATGCATATATTTCATTACAACAAACCAACAAATGAAAGAAAACAAAATATATCAAACCACACATAAACACATTACATTAGACTTTTGTTTCAGAGTAACAGTAACCACTATGATGAGACTTGGCAAATGGCTGAAAAAGAACTGTTAAAGTTCACAGAGTCAACTTGACAAACAGGTCAAGTACAATCTGGATGCTACTTATACCAAAATTTTCTTCTACAAAACATGATCAAACTCTATATCTGACCTCAATATGTAAACTTCCAGGACAGATATTTGCAGATTAATCTTTTGAATGCAAGTAAAAAAAGCTCAAATCAACGAGTATTGGGATAATTAACACGAAAAAATCGCAAGATTAGCTAAAAGATCAAAACTTTAGCATTAATACAAATTAAAAAAATAAAAAATTGACAGGAAAATAAGAGGTAGGCATACCTTGTGGCCATTGAGGAATCGGCGCCGGCAAGGAGAAAGTCTCCGGTTGCTGCTCCCCGAAACCGGCGAGTCTGGTCCAGGTCAAGCATTTGCAGCCCAACATCTTTGCTCCTCCGGAAGATTATGAACCTAAGAATTCATGAAAACTCGTTTCAAGAATTGGGAATCAATAGCCGTCGGCAAAGCCTAACGGAGCTTCTATGCATGTTTCGTCGCAAATTCTTTCCCTTGTCAATACGTTTATACTTTGGTCGTGGAATATGGAATAAAGGTTGCCGCCTCGCCGGAGAAAAAGTAGAAAATCTGAAAAAATCCAGAGCAAGTTAAAGCTAAACGGTGTCGTTTCTTCATTTTTGGGGTACTTTCAACTCTATTAAAAATTCTTAAAATCTTAATAATTAAAAACAAAGAAAAATTACAATTTTTATTGTTAAATTGGTAATTATAGAATTCGTGGCTGGTCATGCTCACTTTTCATCCTTAAGTTATTATTAGTCTTGCACATTCGTCCTTGAGTTATACTAAAATTGCAAATTTCGTTCCTAAATTTTTATTAATAAAGGAACGAAAAGTGTAACGTCAATAATAATTTCGGGATGAAAAGTAAGTATGACCAATACAATACTTAAGAATGAATTTTACAATTATTTTATGAACGAAAAATGTTATTTTTCTAAAATAACAACAAAAAAAAAAAATGTATGCATTTACATTCTTACAATAAAAAAATTAATATAATTTTTCCCTTAAAAAGAAAGTCATACAAATTAAGATGATAAATGATATAAGTTTTTAGGTTAGAATGTATTATACTATCATGTATGTTTTGACAGATTTTTCGGTATTCAAAATAATTGTTAAAAACTAATAATTCAGACTTTAGCATCAATCGGTTACAACCACTTATTAATTCAAGTAATGAGAAGTTGTTACAACCAATTATTAATTTTCAGTCAATTTATTAATTCAAATAATGAGAAGTTGTTACAACCAATTATTAATTTTTAGACCGACACTATTTCCTAGTCTTGTGTATGTTATTGAATTGAATTTATACGTCAAGACCCATCTCTTCTCAAAAAATGAAATGTGTGGTGGCTCTAGATGGGTATGGAAGGAGGGATGCCAAAAGTGGTTTCCTTTTCAATGCCTTCCTTACCAAGCAAAATTAGACAAGTCATTTTCTTGTTGTATTCCTTTAATTTACAGAAAAGATTCCTTTAATTTATAGAAAAGTTCACAACTGTTATTTAAATGTGCCCGTTTAATAATTTGTGATCTTAGTCAACAAAAAATCGCAAAAAGATAAATTAATCGAAGTGTCCATAACTGACCAAGAAGTCTAGGTGATTATAACTGACGTTTAATGATTTGTGACCTTAACCAACAAAAGATCACGAGAAGATAAATTAATCGAATTGTCCATAACTGACCAGGCCAGAGTCTAGGTGTTTATAACTGATCAAGTCAAATCAAGAAAGTCAATAGATAACTCCCGATAAGTGAAACTTGGATTTTCTTATTGTATTCCCACAAGTTGGGAGTAGGGGCTATGAATGACAGTTCAAGAATGGCAATTGTAAGTTTCTTGGTATAACCAACGGAGCATATGCTTGATGCTTCTATGCACGTGAAGATCATGACCTTTCTAAGTACAACTGGTCCAATTGATATTTTTCTCACTCCAAAATCGATTTGTGCTTCATTCTCCACCGTTCAAATTCATTGATTCACAAACCCAAATCTCCAATAATTCAACCTTCCTATAAAAGGGTACCTCTCTGGCTCTCTGTTATTGCATTTGATTCAGAATTTTTAAGATCTGGCAAGAAAGATGCTGCTAAGAAGCTCTTCTACTCCGATTCTTGGATCTCTTCTTGCAGATAGTTGTGGGGAAGCTCTTACACCAAACCATCATTTCAAGAAAGTATTGTATCCCCCCCATGTTGGATCCCTCAACTTCAACAAGTTTTCTTGCAGTTCTTCCTCCCCTAGCTCCCCTTCTGTTTCTGAGTTTTCTTCTGGCAAGCAGTTGTCCAGAAATGGGTTTCGAAAAGTTATGTCGGAGGGGAACTTGGAAGGGTTGGCAGTCCATGGACCCGGCAATGGTGAGGATGAGTTCAGTCTTGCTATCCCACTGAAGAAGTTTCCACGCGTGAATGGGTTGGAAACCATCCCGTCTTTCTCGTTACATGGCTCAGGAAGTTGTGAAGATGAAGAAAGTGAGGAAGATGAGGAATTGGAGGCGGTCATGGATGATGGTGTTAATCAATGCTTGAAAGCAGAAATGAGCCTGAACTCCATGAAGGTTGCAGAAGGGAGAGAGATGTGTCTTATCAGAGAGGCTATGGTTGTTAATGGTGGCGGTGATGATCCTACCGGAGGTTGTGGTGCCACCGGTGGTGGCGGTGGTGGCTGTAGGCCAGTGGCCTTTGGCAGGGGTGGGGGCGGGGGCGACAACCATGGGCTCAGTATGGAAGAGTACTTCAAGAAGATGGTGGCGGAAAATCCCAGCAATCCCCTGTTCTTGAGGAACTATGCTCACTTCTTGTATCAGGTGAATCATCTTTTCATCTTTCAAGATTCCCAGATTTTCCGCCACAATTTTCAACACATCTTTTACTCGTTAACTCGTTTCATTGATGAACAGACAAAGGGAGATTCTAAAGGAGCAGAGGAATATTACTCAAGGGCAATTCTAGCAGATCCAGGAGATGGCGAAGTTCTATCACAGTATGCTAACCTGGTTTGGGAGCTCCACCGCGATGCTGATAGAGCAACGAGCTACTTTGAACGCGCAGTCCAAGCTGCTGGAGAAGACAGGTTTGTTTTCAATCTGATAAAACAAAGTTTCAAACATTCAATCACATCTCCTCCACTCATTACTTCTTGATTTTCCAGCCATGTTCATGCTGCATATGCAAGGTTTCTCTGGGAAATTGAAGACATTGAGGATGAAGAAGATGACGTACCAAATACTGCACATATAAAGGCGGTTCCCCATCCAGGAGCAATGGCCTCTGCAACTGCTCACTGAATTGAATCGTATCCCTGTAGTTTTAGGTAGCAGTAATAATAGATATGACAGATGAAATTCTTTTCAGTTCTAAGAAGCTTAACGGGAGAGAGTGAGTGCAATGATGAACTCAACTCGACTAAGCTGTATTCCTGATAATGATTCAGAGTATATGATTTTGATTGGATATTTGAAAACGGTTTGCATGGCAGCAGGTGAGAAGATGATAAAGAATATTGACAAGAACGAACTCCGTAAATTTAATCAAAATTTCAAACCCAATGTAAAAGATGTACCTCTTAGATTGAAGACAATAAAAGCAATCAAGAGGAAAAAAGGCACGCGAATTGATTGTATGCTTGCATTTCAAATGTAACGGGGGGAAGAAAACAAAAAAACATTAACCTACATCCCACAAATGCTACGCATAAACCTCATAATGAGTCACAACTTCCATTGATTGGATCTTCTTTCTAATGATCCATCACACAAGAGACTAGTGATTGATATTTTGTATCATGCAGCACGAAAGCCATTACTCTTCACCCTGTTATAATCAACGCTATCTTGATAGACTCCCCTTCCGAATGTCCGTCCCCCAGAACGACCTCCTCTACCCCTTCCACCTCTTCCTCCTGATCAAGGCAATTCCAAAAATCAGTGTTGTGTGTTCAAAGAAAAGAAGTAACATTAAAAATTAAAAATACGATAATACAAATAAGAGAAAAAACTATTCAAATCTTGAAATTTTGCAAAGCACATGACGGTCATACAGTAATGACAATATGTCAATATGACATAGCAAACACAAAAGGGTAAAGCCAAAAAAAAAAAAAAAAAAAAAAAAAAAAAAAAAACTAGAACAATCAGATCAGAGTTCAAACAGTCACTTTAAACCAAAAAGCAGTTTTGAAGAACGTACTTCCTCCGCGTGAAGCACTATTGTTGTTTTGTCTCCTCTCCTCAATGTAGACTTGCCTTCCAGCTAATAGTATTGGTGAAGCCTAAAAAAGGGTATGATATTATTATAGATGCATATTGCCGTCATTAGATATAGCCTAAAGCCATTGATGGTATGCTTAAGTCAATTCATAAATAGCACACAATGACTAAAAATGATAAGCAAAGCAAATCACAAAATATTTTAGCAATTCCCGCACCAAATTCCTCTGTGAAATAACAGCTATATATTAAGTACAGAGTAACAAAAAAAGCTAGTTAAAAATCAAGTTTGATGAATCTCAAACCTTGAGTGCATTCTGAACACCCTGCACATCTTCAAACTCAACAAAGGCATAGCAGACACCAACATCCTGAGTAGCAGTTGCAATTCCTGTATCAGCACATATCTATTTTTAAGCACATAATTAACACAAGAGAAATAACTAACCTTTCGGTTTCTTAAGAACACCCCATCTTGCTTGATTGTTCCAAAGTTCTTAAACTCTTGCACAATATCTAGAGTTGATACACTTGATGGCAAGTTCCTCACATACACAGACAATGATTCCCCTACCAGATAAAAGATTCATTAAATCATATGCTTGGCAAACAAACAAGAATCTCAACTGAAAACAGAAGTAAATAATGACTTAATGAGACACTAGAAGTCATATCTAGTGCGCACCCTAATAAGAATGAGACTGGTGTTCACCTTCTTGAAATAAGCCTTCATCTGCTAGCTCATGGCTGTTATCAGGCAAAACAGTTGAGGCAGCATCTGTATGCTGGACAACTGGTTGCCAGTCTGAAGTAGGCTGTACGCTCTTGGTGAAAGGTTGCTGGACACTAACTGATGGTGGAGATTTTCCTTTTGGTGCGCGCAACTGTAAGTTGTCAAGAATTATATGCCAAATGGTGGAGAAAAAACAAATGCAAGCACAATCCCCTAGAGAAAGATTCAGTTATATATATGGAGCATTAGATGCAATAACACCTATTTACAAGGTCAAAGTTCATATGTTATGCCATAGCACTTACCTCTAGTGCAATGTATCAATTTTCAAATGATTAAATATCATTTGGTAAGACCATACAGTTCTTCCTCCAGAGTGTCAAATGATAAATGATTCACAATTTACAACTTATTCATATAAAAAAATAGGAAAATGCATGTCACATAGGAAAGTTGAAAATATAAGGAATACATACTATGGAAGCGTAACTAAGCTTTGACTGCTCTCCAACAGGTTCTTCCCAAGAAGGTTCAGGCACCTCCAAAGCTTCCACATTGTTCTGCAAAGTAAATGGCTCTTCTTCGAAAGGAGGTTCCTCATGCACTGTTTCTGTCTCAGGGACATGTTCTTGTAAATCTTGCTGATTCTCTGAATAACTGTACTTACCAACAGAATTGTTTCCATCTAGGTTGACCATGTTGACATATTCCCTAGCTTCTTCCTCCAAGGCATAGTCAGAGGCTGTTAAAAGAATTAGCAAGGTAAAGCACAACCAAAGATAATACAATACAAGAGAAATACTAAGCATATTCTAAATTTGATTTTTATAAATTTGACAGGCCAAGATCTAATTGATCCATGATGGAAACGAAATCCACCTTTTCATGAGGTGAAGAACCCCAACAACTTGGGATTGTATCAAGCTAATGTCACAAAATAACCTGCAACTAGCTGATAAGCTAGCTGTAGTTGTTGCTGCTAGTAGCTGATAGGCATTAGGCAGTGTTAGATGATAAGGTAGCTAATTGACTTGGAAGTGTTCGGTAATGAACTAGCTTTTTAATGTAAATGACTTATCAAAGGACTAGCTGCTAATAAGCTATAGACTAATGAAAACCTTGTTTTCCAAACAGCTCTAAAAGACAACAGCTAACTTCTTATAAGTTATAAAGTACCAAAAGCTTGCTGCCAAACACATCTTAATGGAAAAAGCAAAAATGATGAAGAAATAATGAACCTAAGAGAGAGAGAGAGAGAGAGAGAATGAGAATGCCCGGAATACAACCTAAGAGAAAGCCCACACTACAATAAAGACTACAACATTGTGAAAAAGATTATATAATGAATAATCACTGCAGGAAGATAATGAGGTTTTTAATGTAATCAATAACTCTATAGAATATAAGAATAAATGGTACCTGGTGCCTCTGCATGCGGAGGACTAGGGGCAGTTGGTTGAGCACCAAAATTGTTTTCCGAAACTACCAGAGGCGCTGGCGGTTGGTTCTTCGCCTCCATGTCACCAAAATGGAAGACGTCATTAAGAACAAAGAAGCCCTTTTCCTGTGGAGCAAGGAAAAATGTCTGCACAAAATCCCTCCACCCACTAACATCTTTCAGCTTGACAGAACCAGAAACCACCACGAGAACACCTCCGTTCCAAGATTCAAGAGAATTTATTGTCTTAACCTTAATCCCTGAGAATCCTACTGACATGAGAAGTGAATGTATTTCCTGCAAAAACATAGGACGAAGAAACATACAAATTAAATTGAAGCCCGCATATGGTACTCTGAGCTGGAAAAAAAAATACTATATGCTTCAACAGCTCCAATTTGAAGGATACCATGATCCCAAAACTAAAGAGAGTCATATTTCTCAACACAAAATTTAAAGTTTATATTAGGTGCTATCTACCTTGTCAAGTTGCGTTCTAAATTTCAGACCCTTTTCATATATACACTAAAGATCAGAAAATCGAAAATCAAGAACTAAACAAAATTCTCACAAGGACATCAATATCAGTGCACCTTAAAAACAATAACTAAACTTCCACTTTCAGTTATAATTACACTTAATCAGATTCCAGTTTAAAGAAGAGAAAGTTTCACCAGGAGTGAGGAAGCTGACTCGGCGGATTCTCCATCAACTCTAACAATGGAGCTGGCATCCGTGTAGAACTGATGAACATAATCCGGTTGCTGTTGCAGCACCTGATAAAATTGTTGCACAAAGTACGAACCAACCTGTTTACAAAACAAAAAAAAAAAGAAAAATTAATCAGCAAATAATGAAAGAAGCAAAATCCCAAATCAAGAAACAGAGAGATGAATTGAGTTTGCTGATTTCGCAGACCTGAGTAGCACTTATCGGAGCAGCGTATGGGGTAGCCATTCTCTCACTCTCAGCAAGTCCTCCGCCCCTCGGAACCTACCCCTGAAACCCTAGATCACGAGATTTCTAGGGCTGACAAATTCTGGGTTTTAAAATATATACTGATTTAACCTCCCTTATTTTATTAGGCACCGAAAGAAGCGATTCAGAGAGATGAAAGCCAAAGTTTTCTAGTTCATACAGATATACATACACACGTATATACTGTATATGTGTGCGTCTGAGATTGATTGGCGTTTCAGGACGATTATGGGAATCGGAAATCGGAAAGTTGCAGAGAGAAGAGCGAATGATAGATCTATGTGGAGAGAGAGAGAGAGAGACAGAGATGTTCAGTGGGGGGTTTATGGTGAGATGAATCTTTGACTTCCAGAGAGAGCTGAGGGAATCAACGGCGGATGATTATGCGGGGGACAAATTGGACCGATAGGATTGGATCATGGGGAGAAGAGAGTATCAGTTAAAGATAGTAAATGCTAGAACCTCTGCATAGTAAATTTTCTTTTTGGTGCTAATAAAAATAAAAAATTTTGCCTAATACCTTGTGCTAATATAGCACATTGTAATCAAGGACCTTGTGGTTCATTGGTACCCGGTTACTCTTCTAAGTGGGATGTGAAATTTTAAACCTCACTAATAAAAAAAGGTTGTATAATTAAATTTAAGTTCGGTAGTCAATAATACTCACACAAATGTTCTGTCGAGTCGGAGAGTCCTTAGGGTTTTATTATTTGTGACAGTTTTTTATAACATAGGTTTCAGTTCTCACAGCTTTGACATAGTATATCCCGACAAATATTATGAACGTTATGTTTTTTTTTAAATGAGAGAAACATGTACTAAGAGTGTATATTATTAAACTTTTGTCATGTGTAATACTTTGCTCACTTGATAGGAAAATAATGTTCGACTTTATCCCAACAGGTCCAATTATCTTGGTGAGTCGATACAACTGGATTTGAGGAGACATACCTGACGGATGTATCATGTCCAGTTGAAGAATTCCACGTGATGACTGCGCTCATCATGTCAAATAGGACAATATATTAAAGACGCATGGTATTGTCGACATGGTTGATCACTACATGGCCTCCACGTGTTTAACAACGAGGATAATGTGAAATGTGTCGTGTCAGGTACCTATTTATGCATTCAATACTAATGTCTGTTTAAACGGTACACCTCTCTACAGTATATATTCAAACAGGTGGGAAAATGTATATTATCATTTTCTTGTTGGAAAATGAGGATTTGATTATGTTTTTGGATGTGCAGTGCGCAAAGTCACTAAAATTACAGTGAAGCACACATGGAAACTATATCAAATCAATAATTCATTTATGGTAGAAGACAACAAGATAAAGCATGGATCACGCCAATTAATAAGGTTTTATGTTACAGAAACTATGCTTAGGATATTATCCAGTGAATGTGTTCCCCTCTAAAATTGTGATTGCACCAGTTAATCCAACATTATGTCATATGCTATAATTCTGTATTCTTGAAATATTTACTTTTATGAAAAAAAAAATTATACGTTAATATATCGAATGATACTTTGATAAATTTTTAGACACTAATTTTAAAATACACATTGAGCATCATTATACGCGCAATACGAGTGTAGTAACTAGTTAATACATACGATCAAATTTTTGGAGTAAAACTGCCATGGACTTGGATTCACATTGTAAGGTTGACCGGGTTAGATATACACAATTTACGTAATGAAGGTTCACAATTAACATATTGTAAATTGTGAACATTTAATGTAAAATTATGAAAATCCCGTAAATTGTGTATTTTTGAACACATATCCCCCGAGCGATGTGAGTCATTAAAAATTTAAAATTGGGGAAGTTATATCGCGGACCGCGATGCACGGTCAAAACGGCGCCGTTAGTTTTAACAGAGTGTGCATTTTTTTGTATGTTAATTACCAACTGACACTACAGTATATCTAAACCGACACTGTCTCACGTATTATTTTTATATTATCAAATGAAACTGCAGTTATATCAAAATGATATTGTAGTTGTGGTGAAATGAAACTGCAGTGTATATAAAATGAAACTGAATAACATTTCACATATTTGAGTGTATATTGCAATATAAAGTTGTAATTATATCAAAATGATCATGCAGTTGTGTTTTAATAAAACTATAGTGTATATAAAATAAAATTAAATACCATTTTCACATATTTGAGTCTATAAATATGAATGAAATTGTAGTTATATCAAAATGAAATTGTAATTTTATTTTATATACTGTAATTTTGTTGAACCGAAACTGCAGTGTATACAAAATGAAACTGAATAACAGAGTTATTTTTTATGAAAGGGTGCAAAATGACGAAAATAGATACCGTTTCTTTTCATTAAACAAAATAACGTCGTTTTGATGCGCGGTGCACGATATAATTTGCCTTAAAATTGCGATGGAAACTTCTTAATCGCCCAAGAGGCCCAAAAGTATTTTTGGGGCTTAGATGCCCTAGTATTTCAGCCCATAATTCCCACCCAAAACCCTAGCACTTGCATATAAAAATCGCATTACACTTTCTATCTCACTAGTTTCAGAAGAGAGAGAAAGCATCAACAATGTCGAAGCGAGGTAAGCTGTAGTCCGATATATTTCAACTTTTTTTTTTTTGTTAAATGTAAATATGCTTTATCTGTAATTTAGGACGCGGAGGTTCCGCGGGGAACAAATTCCGCATGTCGCTGGGTCTGCCGGTGGCTGCGACGGTGAACTGCGCCGACAACACCGGTGCTAAGAATCTCTACATTATATCGGTGAAGGGAATCAAGGGTAGACTCAACAGGTTGCCCTCTGCTTGCGTCGGGGACATGGTGATGGCCACCGTGAAGAAGGGTAAGCCCGATCTCAGGAAGAAGGTCATGCCGGCCGTGATCGTCCGTCAGCGCAAGCCTTGGCGCCGAAAGGACGGTGTTTTCATGTATTTTGAAGGTATTCTTCATCATCTATTACTGTCTTTGAGCTGCACATATACTGTACTTTTATGTGTTTTGGTGCTTGCTTTCAATTTGTTCATGCCGTGACTTAATTTTTCTGCATTTGATTATGATCTATATAAGTGAAATTGATGTTTTGAACACCATGATCCATGATATTGGGCTCTGATCATAGTGCTTTTTCTTGCAGACAATGCTGGGGTGATTGTGAATCCCAAAGGAGAAATGAAAGGTAAAACTTTGTTTCAAATGTTCATTGATTGCATCTTATTAGTAACTATAATCTTGTCAAATGTTCATTGGTTGTATCTTATAAGTAACTATAATATTGTCAAATGTGCATTGGTTGTATCTTACAAGTAACTATAATCTTGTCAAATGTTCATTGATTGTATCTTATAAGTGACTACAATAATTTCAAATGCAAATTTACTGTATCTTATAAGTAACTATAATCTAAACCTGGTGTAATCAGTCAAAGTATAAAGTAAAAAGATGGTCTTCTTTGGCCATTTTCATTCTCATCAATAATAATGGGCATTTGGTTATGGGTTTAATGGGTCATAATTGAAATGAAATTCATTGTTGGTGATTGATAAGAATTTTGTAGACCCTGGGAATAGGAATCAAATTCCCAAGCACTAGTGCACCACACTTTGTCATTCTTGGATGTTCTCCGGTTGGGGGTTTTAAGGGTCATAATTGAAATGAAATTCATTGTTTGTAATTGGTAAGAACTTTTTGTAGACCCTGAGAATAGGAATTAAATCCTCAAGCATCCCACTTTTTTATTCTTGTCTGTTTTCCAGTGAGGGGCTTTTAGGGTCATAATTGAAATGAAATTCATTGTTTATTGGTAAGAAATTTTTATTGACACTGGGAATAAGAATCAAATCCTCAAAGTACCCCACTTTTTTTGTTCCTGATTCTCTCACTTTCATACCATTTAGTAAAACCTAATCAAAGTGCTAAGCATTTGGTTTTTTCATGCCTGCTAAGATAATTATTACTCAGTTTCAGCCAATTTTAGTTTTTGTTCTAATCTTTTGTTCACTGTTTTTTGCTTGCAGGGTCTGCAATTACTGGGCCTATTGGCAAGGAGTGTGCAGATCTTTGGCCTAGGATTGCCAGTGCTGCCAATGCTATTGTTTAGTGATAATGTGATATGACGGATATTATGTATTAGTTGGATTTTTGTTTTGGTTGGTTTTTTGAGTTTTTGACATTGAGTTCTTGGCCATAAGCATTTTGTATCACTGAGAATTTGAGTTATATTAATGACAGTTATTTTTATACTTTTTTTGTTCATACCAAGAATCTATTTATTGGTGAATACAGATTAGTTTCTTAAAATGCACTTGAAAATCTGAAGTATTACTTCATTTGATTGATTCTAGCAGTTGATCTGGATGCAGTGATTGTCGATTTATTATTGCGGTTTTATACTTGTTAAATATCATAAAGGGAATTTTATTAAGACTCGATTGGATTGATGTGTATACTAGTGTAGTATGTCATAAAAAAAGGAAAATTAATGTGTTGTGTTGGTCTAATTTTTTTTGGATAGCGAGAAAAACTTGCCTACCTAAATATGTCATGTTTTAAAACTTGTTCATTGCATTACAAATTATATAACGTATACTGATATACGAATAATTTTGTTGGACACAATGACTAATCCGATTTAAGGCACACAATAACTAATCCGATTTAAAATTGCTCTATACCTAAAGTTAAAAAAATGAGTCCCTAGTATCACAATTATAAATAAATATATCATTATACAAGAAACTAATAAGTTTATTTATTTTTTATTTGTTGACATTAAATTCTAAAAATTTAAAAGAGTTTAGTCATGAATAAATGGGTCAGCTCCTTGAGGGAAGGTCATATTAATGGTAAAATATTTGACTCTTTGAAAAAAAAAAAGAGTCAATAGTACTCTTTTAAAAAAATATATAAAACAAATACTACATTATAATCTAAAAACATAATAAGTCTCAATCAAAGTTATACCTCTTATTTATGTCCATGTTTTTAATGCTAAACATTTTGTACATTGTGCTTTTAAAATTGTACTATACAATTTTTTGGACAAAAATACCCTTACCCCGTTATAACTTCTGTTATCTTTTCAATTACTTTTACCATGCACATACATCTACCATATCTTTTCTTATATTCTTTAATTATAACAATATTTGTAAAACATTATATATTCATTATATATTAGATTAATATAATAAATAAATTTTATTTCACTTAGATTTAATTAGTAAAGTTTAGCTATTTTTAAAAATATAAATATTGAACATATGTTTTTGCGCATCGCGCATAGAAAAGACTAGTAGAGTTAATAATAGTAAAAAAATAAATAATGGGAGAAGAAGAAAAATTAATAATGGGCCAATAGAATTTCAAAAAAAGAAACAAGAGGGGATTAAGAAAAATAAAAATAAAAAATAACAAAAGGGGAAAATTGTAAAAATAGGCCCGCTTATGACTGGCGGGAAAAGTGTAAACTCGGCGGCATCCCACCTTTCGATTCTCTTCTTTCCCATTCGCTGTTTTCTTCATCTCGATGACTGAAAGTCTGAAAGTTCTTTGTTTGAATTATTAATCCGAAAATGGCAGGTTGGAATTATCCGGAAATATCCCTAGAAGATTTGCTGAAAGCAATAAAAGGGTTCATAGATATGTTGATTCTAGCTTCTGGGTATCAATCATCTGGTCGTCTTGCCCGCTGGGATTCGGGTAATATCAAGAGAGCTCTTCAGTGGGCTCTGTTTCTCGAGGATGTGGGTACCTTGATTTTTTTCTTTTCTAATAATTTCTATGTGAACTTTTAATATCATTATTATTGTGTAAAATGATTGATTATTACTCTGATACAAGCCTACAAGAGTATTGTTTATGCCTTTGGACTTTGAAGTTTCTTTTTATAGAGAGAGCAGTTGAAAGTTTGCAGCTTTAGTCATAGGATGCTGGATTTCGTTGTGATTTTCCTTATAAAAGCTTAGTGTGTTTCAGTTCTGCAGCTGAGCATTTATGTATGTAAAAATTCTTGCACTTATGACTTCTTAGGTGATTGGTAGCTTGAACAGTCAAGATGAGTACAGAGATTCTCTGGAGGAGCTTGATGTAGCTTTATGTGAGATGATTTCTATGCCATATTTCCCCAAGGTTATGAGCTTAATTGTTAAGTCCTTTTTAGTTTCTGAATCTGTCCTTAATTCTTACCCACAAAAGTTGAAATTCCCTCGCCCCCAGGGCCCTCATACTCCGGCCCATTAGGTGAGAAGACTAGTGTCTTGTACTCACACAGAGCCCCACCATATTGGGTGTAACTCCTAGTCTCCTACACTGCGATTGCTAGGGCTCAATCATGTGTCCTTATCCACAATCTACCACCCAGGAACCAATTGTGCCGCCCATGCGAGCATTTGTTCTTAATTCTATCCCTTGTAACAACTTCCATTATTAAATATTTTCTACTTTTCTGAGACATTTTATAAAAAAATTGTTGACAGGGTTTAGAACATCTATCATCTAAGACTCTTAGCAATGCGAGAAATTTAATGTTAGAACATCTGACTCATACCTTACCACTGAGGGATTTGCATCTAAGAGCTCTAGTGACAGCGACCGTTGAGATGGATTTTCACATGCTTCCAAATGCAGATAGTGATTGCCTTGACAAACATTTTGAAGAATTGATGCATAGTGAATCAAAGAAACCTGCTTTCAATGTGAGCAGACATTTAATGGAAGACTCAGTAAACACATCTATGATGACTTCTCCTAGTAGAAAAGCTAATGATGCTGCCTGCAGCTTTTCTGCCATCACTGCACGAGAACTTGGAAGGAGACATGTGGCAGTGTCATCACTATCTGCAGCAGAGACGTGCTTGGAGATGTTGTCTCGCAGTGAATACCATTTGAATGTAAGTGAGCGTGGCAAGAGCTTGCATGATGGTGTGGCTCACACAGGAGCTTTAACGTAAGTGATATTTTCATATGAATGTTACCCCACATCTCTGTAAATAGGAAGGTTACCATTGTATTGTATATTCATTTAGTTTACAAAAAGAAAAAGAAAGGAAAAACAAGAGGAACCCCTTTATCTTTTTCTGACGAGAAAACTAGAAATAATCTGCACATATCCTGCATTATGACATAATTGGAGTGGAAAGATCTTTATGTTGAGGTGTGTGGTCGAATTACTGAAGTTTGACAGCTGGTTAGAGGTTCAACTTCAGTAAAGAAAACTGCCTGTGTTGATAAACCAGTTTGCTATTTAATTCTCTTATTTATTTGTGTCCACCCCCACCTTCTCTTCCTTGGGGCCTTTCTGGTCTGACATAAAATTGTTTTCAAGGTCTGATGAAGTGCCGATCGATCCTTTTACCTGGAATCTTTTGAAATCAAGAAACCTCTCTTATCTGCTTGACAAGAGAACTATTAGACTGGTATCAGGCGCCAATCTTATTCTTTCAGCTCCCGAGGACCAATGGGTTCGAGTGTTTGGACGGCTAAATATTTCAACTGAAGCTGAACATAATTTATGTGAAACAGTGGTAAGCCTTTCAGGCTTTTGTAATTCTTATGTTGGTTTTGGAAAAGTTCAACTGTGTGCAAGGTTCTCATATGTCTTAGGCCAGTTAAAAAAATCATATATGTGCAAAACCTTTAACCCTTTAATAATTGGTATGAAGTTACTAATACTATTATGCAATTTTCTAGTAGGAATTTAATGTATGTATAGGTTTTTTTTTTTTTTTAATTTTTTTTTTTAATTTTTTTTTTTTTTATATATATATATATATTTCTTAAGCTGTACTCAATTTTCAATAGGAGCTTTTGTTACTGGGATGTGTTGCAAGCAAATGGAAAAATTTGATTGAACATTTAATGTCGAGTTCATACAAACCTGTTACTATATCAAAACTATGCCAAGAGGTGCTCAACATAGTGGTTGGAGGTTGTAAAAACCTTTGTTGCAAAGCTAATATGACGAGTTCAAAGGTACTCTTCTTGTACTCTATATGATTCGTAGCAACTGTATATATTAATCTTTTTCTTAATACCAAGTCTGGCATATCTAGACTGCAATTTTATTAGCTACATGGGCATTTTAATTGTTGGATGACATTTCATATGTATGAAATCTTGAATATTCTCGGGAGCTTTGTATTGCAATTATCTTCGTTGGAGCAATACTGCTATGACTTTTATTTTCTTTCCTCTCTTATGTTAAACTAGGATAGAAGTGTTGTAAGGTTTCTGGAAGGCTTGCTAAGCAGTCGGCTATACACGTTGTGGAAACTGTCACCTATCCTAGCAGCATTTGCAATTCCTTCCCGGTACACTTGTAAACATTTTTATTTTTTTTAAAGCTATTAAAAAACGCGTGAGACTGTGAGAGTTTACTCTTTTATGATGAACTTTTACTTTCCAATGTGTTACTGGCATCCACTAAACAACTTTTGGTGCACTGACAATGCAGGTCACCGTTGTTTAGATCATATTTAAGGGAGCTGGAGAGTCAATTGAGAGGAGACACATCATTGACAAGGTTTTTTACATTTATATTTCTTCGTCATGAGACTTTATGCTTTTTTCACTCGATGGTTGCTGTTCTTACTGCATTCATTTGTTTGTAGCTCTTGTGGTTGCGCCAAGGATGGAAAGGAGCATAGAGAATGTTAGTTTTCTCCTCTCTCTTTCTCTCTTCTATATATATATATATATATATATATATATATATATAGTGCACTTCTCAATAAGAGTTGTGTTTTTCCAGGCGACCTAGTTGACAGACTCTGGTGCCTCTATATATACCATATTCACAGTTCCGCTTAATGCCCGGTTGTTCTACTTCTCCCCAATTTCTCAGCTCCAGAGCCATTGGTAAGTGTATTTATCACTTCTTAATAGACACAACCGTTTTTTTAAATTTTTTTTTTTTTGTTTTGTTTTTTGTTTTCAATGTTTTCATTCATATTGACAGTGCTATCAGATGTTATGCCACTTCTTTTTTAGGACAGCTTTTGTTCTGATGGGGTCTGATTATATATCAAATAAGAAATAGTCTTTATTCTTGGACCATTAGTTATCTTAAAATTTGCTTCTATTTGGTTGTTCAGCTCATTCTTCACATCAAAGATTGGATTTTTCCACTTGTTTTTGCACTCCATGTGCTGAGGTTGTTTCTCGTTCTTATCATACTCTATTCTTATTCGATTAACAAACGCATAGGGAAAACCAAACAGCTTAAGAATCACAAAAGTGAAAAAGAATCAAGGGAAAAGCACCGAAAGTTGCACAGAACCTTGGTATGCTTTGAATCAGTATAACTTGTTAGGATGAAGCTTTTTCTGCAATTAGGAGTGTAATGGCGTATGATAAAAAAAGCTCGGTTCAACAGTTTTCGTCTAAAAGCATGACATCTGTGAAGCACTAAGGATTGCATAATACTGACATCAATATGTATCTGTACTTTCTGGTTTCTGCCTATTCGTCATTTTAAAGAATGAATCATAAAAAAGGAAAAAAATTATATAAAGCATGTTATTGCTGTCTAGGCACATATATGAGGTGAAATATCTGGTTATGATTGTTCCCAAAAGGTTGAATCCCTAACCCCAAGGGCCCCCCACACCCCGGCCTGACAGAGCATCTGGGAGGATGTAAATCATGGTAACTCAGTTGAACACAGAGGCTAGACCTTTGCTTACTGAAATATCTGATTATGATGGGAATGTGGTCCTCTATTAGTAGTGGTTGGGACTTGGGGACCATGAGAGCCTACCAGAAAGGAATTAAAGTTGAGTTGACTAGTCCACAGTGATCACAGCTAAAATTCTCCCACACCCCATGTGTGAAAATGACATCCAACATAACCTGGTGCCTAGAAATGGAATATTTGCACTTGAGCTACAACAACCATCATGGCTCATCTTATAGAAATGCATACATTTACTTCACTACTGCAGGTGGAGGTGAAGGCCCCCTCGGTGACACTAAACGCGGGATGAAAATCTTGAATGTGCTAGGCATGAAGTGGCGGGGGAGAGGCGGTGGCGCCTCTGCAGTCACCCTTCTCAGCCTGCAGAAAAGGGCGTCCCCGAGAAACTGCTGCAGAGGATGGCGTGTTGCAAGGCGTTTGGAATGGAGGTTCGGGTTGTGGTGCAGAAAGCTCAGAGAAGCTTTGGGGTGCCAAAGAAACAGTGTGCAGCAGTTCAGCTATGATCCTCAGAGCTATTCTCAAAATTTTGATGATGGGCACTTCAAGGAACATCTCTCACCTTTAGCTCCACTCTGATTTTTTTTTTTTGCCTTTTTGCTGCAATTCTTCATAAGCTGATTGGAGTGGCAGCTTAAGTTGATCCTACTTTAAGCTTTATGTATCTTCTTCATCCCATCAAGGCCTGTATAATACTTATTTGCATTTTGATTTGGATAGTGTGGTGTCACTTCATACAACATACACTTTACTTTTATGGAATAGTATTTTATTATATCCATTTTCAACTCCATTCTTTTAGAAATTTTAATGTTACTCTTATTATTATTATTGGTGACGAAGATAAACATGTAGCCATTTCTGTTAGGGTCGGCCTAGATTGATAAGGTGTTGACAAATATCGAACTCGTGACCTTTAAGTATGAGAAACTCCTTTCAGGGTACTTTTTTTATTTTACTTTTAGGTATGATAATTGCGGGCTTTAACTGTATCAGCAAATAGCAATCACCTGACATTAATATTGTCATTCAATCTACACAAAAGAAATGTACAATTGAACACAATCACTCACAACAACATAAGACTCCATTTGCATCAAGTGAAAAACACCACTTCATCATTCAATCTACACAAGTATTGATTTTTCTATAGGTATATTTGATCAAACACAATTTCTTGTTTTCTGCAAATTGTGGGTTTGTGTTTGGTCACTGCAAAATGATGTCTTTTTGTTACTCTTTACAATGATGACTCTCACAGTTACCAGTTTCTATGCTGTGCAACTTCTCAGTTCTGCAAATATGAGCCTTTCTATTTATCAATGCTGGTTAGTCTGGCTATTGTCATAGTCCCCAGTGGCTCAGGAAGGCAGGCCTGCGATTTAGCCGACAGTTCTTGAGCGACGAATCGCATGGAAGGGCGTGTCTCTGGGATGGCCCGCGTGCACGCCAACGCCAAGGTGATCACCGCCACCACTTCCTCTGCCGGGTGGGTAGTGGGGGGTGGGAGTCTCGGGTCAAGCATGTCCTTCAGAAGGGTATCCTCGGATAGTGAAGTTAGCAGGTCTCCCGGGTGCCTCCCCATCATGACTTCCAATGCCACGACCCCGAAGCTATAGACGTCACATTTCTCTGTAACGCGCATTGTGTATGCCAGCTCTGTGAAAAAAAAAATGAAGTTATTGTAAAAGCGGGGTGGAAAGTAAAAAAGTGAAGACTGATCTGATCGAGCTCGGGGGGAGTACCTGGAGCCATGTAGCCGTAGGATCCCGCAACCGTGGTCCAGTTGGATGAGTCTGAACTCAACAGTTTGGCTGTGCCAAAGTCCGAGAGCCGTGGCTCGAGTCCTGACTCGAGCAGGATGTTGTTTACCGACACATCACGGTGGACAATAGGAGGGGAGCAGTCGTGGTGGAGGTAAGAAAGTGCATGGGCTATTCCTTGCACGATTTTCACCCTCGTCCCCCATCCTAGTTCTAGTGCCACGGAATCATCATTCAGGGCTTTTGCCAGGCTTCCCTTCTCCACGTACTCGTAAACGAGGTACATCGAGTCATTCTTGGAACAGAAACCAAAGAGTTTGACGATGTTCCTGTGTCTGACCTCTGTCAGTGTTCTAATCTCGTTCTCGAAGCTGGCCCGGTTTGTCAGTGGAATCTCGTTGCTGTCTATCGTGTCGAGCTTCTTGACAGCAACGACCTGGCCTGTCGAGAGGCCCGCTTTGTACACTGTCCCGAACCCCCCTCTCCCAATGCAGAACTTCTCACTAAAGCCTTCTGTGGCTTTCACAATATCCCCAAATGTGAACTTTACTTCCCTTTCCCATATCAGGGATTCGGACGCCTCGTATTTCTTGCTGATCCTCTTCTCTTCGTCGAGTCTCTTCTTTCGCCTTCGAAGAACAAGGAATCCAGCAATCACTGCTAAAAGAATAAGGCCGAGGACTGGAATAAGGACAGCAATTAGCACTTTTCTTTTTTTGTTGCCCGAGTTTGATCTTCCCCCGGCTTGGTTACATGAGGTTAAGCCTTCTGCATTTCCACAGAGACCGGGATTCCCAACGAAGATTCCTTGGAATTTTCCCCCGGTAGGAATTGGACCGGATAACGTGTTGTAAGAGAAATCCATTGCCTGCAAACTGACCATATTAGACAAAGCTGAAGGGATTCTTCCTGAGAGGTGGTTGTGGGATAAGTTCAGATTCTCGAGTGTGATGAGTTTTCCCAAGTTCGATGGGATCGTGCCAGAAAGTGCATTATCACTAAGGTCCAACACGATACTCAATCCCGGGATGTTCCCGAGCTGAGGAGGAATAGCACCTGATAAGGTGTTGCTCCTCAGGCTCAAGCTCAGCAATTTCCCACACTTTCCAAGCTCTTCTGGAACTGTTCCATTTAGATTATTCGACGACAAATCAAGATTCTGGAGGTTAGTCAAGTCGCCAACGCTCCAAGGAATCTCACCGGTCAAATGATTCTTGCTGAGGTTGAGAGTTAGGAGCCTGGTTAGATTCCCCAGTTGTGAAGGAATCTCACCTGTCAGTTCATTTTCATCCAAAGTAAGGACATGAAGCTGAGACAGGTCCCCTAATCCAGGTGGGATGGGGCCAGAAATCTTATTCCCAGAAATTCCCAGATTTGTGAGGCTCTTGCATTGTCCCCAATCAGATGAGAGCTCACCACTGAACTGATTACCATTCAGGGACACAAAATCGAGATTCGGATGGACCCCGAAAGCCTCTGAAATCTTCCCCGAAAAGCTGTTCCCTTCAAGCCTTATTCTAGACAGGTTTAAGCAGTTCTTCAAGCAGCTCGGGACCTTCCCGGTGAAACGATTCCAATTCACAGTCAATTCCTCAAGAGCCAAGCCACTGCACAGTTCGGGTGGGAGTTCTCCAGTAAACCCGTTGTTCGAAAAGCTAACATTGGACAACTTGGGACTGTTTCTCCCAAAATCCCTCGGGACATTGCCCGTGAAGGCATTAGTGAACACTGAAAGAATCTCCAAACTACTGAGACCGGAAAGGGTGCCGGGCAGCTCCCCACTTAGCCTATTACTGCTCACATCAAGGGAAATGAGAGATGTCAGGTTCCCAATCCCGGGTGGCAGCCCCCCGGTGAGATTGTTGGCGAAAAGGCTGAGGAGAGTGAGGGCTGTGAGGCTTCCAATCGTCGGGGGGATTGGACCGGATAAATGGTTCTGTGACAGGTCTAGTTGAGCCAAACTATTCAGGTTTCCTATCTGTGGTGGAATGGTGCCTGAGAATTGATTGTTGTACAAGAACAGGATGGTAAGATTTTCGAGCAATCCAATCTCGGATGGAATGCTCCCATTCAAGGAATTGTTCTGAAGCTGCAAAGAGATTATCTTGGTCCAATTGGAGAAAAAACTAGGAGAAATGGCACCAGAAAGTAAATTATCTGATATCCCCAACTCAGACAATTCTGTCAAAAATGACAATTCTGAAGGCAATTCCCCAGACAATGAATTTCCAGCCAGAGCCAAGAAACTGAGGTTTCTGCAAAGACCAATCTCCGAAGGAATACTCGAATCCAGGCGATTCACACTAATATCCAAGAACTCAAGATCTTTAACCTGGCCTATGGAAGATGGGATTTTTCCTTGAAATGAATTGCTTATCAAGCTCAGATGTTTAAGCCTGGACAGCCTGCTGATGTTTGGTGACAATTCCCCTGAGAATTCATTGGTAGACAGATCAAGATACTCAAGCTTTCCCAAACCAGAAAACAACGGCTCCGGGATTGATCCATTCAAATGGTTTTGACCCAAATCAAGAAAAGTCAGGCTCAAACAACCTAGTATGAAACCTGGGAACCCTGACCTGAGTTCATTGAGATTAAAGCTGAGATGTTTCAGCACTGGAAAGCTCTCAACTTTAGACCAATCAGGAGCCTCCAAGTAATTTGATCCCAGGTCCAAGAACCATACTTTCTGCAGATTCCCAATCTGGAAAGGAACAGTGCCCTCAAGATTGTTGTTGTTAAGGGACAAGTACTGAAGCTCCCTCAAGTTCCCAATCTGTGGGGGAATGGTTCCATCAAACAGATTGCTGCTCAGGTCCAAGAAAACCAAGGTGGATAGATCACCAATTTTGGCAGGGATTGATCCATTGAAGTTGTTCCCACTGAGGTTGAAACCAGTGAGGCTGGGAAAAGAAGTGAAATTGAGGTGATCAAGAGTGCCTGAGAGGTCTGCATTGGGGAGGTTGATCTCAGAAACTGTTCTGCCGCCATTGCAGACAATGCCTGTCCAATTACAGAGGCTTCTTACGTTGGAAAGTGACCAGGAATTGATTGAAGAAGAAGAAGAGAGGGTTGTCTTCCATTGGAGAAGAGCTTCAGCTTCTGTTCTTGCTGATGCTGTTGTTTCCACTGCAAAGAAACATGGCAGCACAAGAAAGATAAGTGCTGCAAATCTGTTCATTCTTGGGTTTGTTTCAAGACCCAGATTACAACATGTTATGACACCAAGAAAGATGTTTTTTTTTTTTTTTTTTTTTTTTTTGTTTGATGATCAAGAGTAAAACATCATATGAAACCCAGAAAGATGAAGGGAGATATATCAAGGTACTAAAAGATAAGATAATATGGTCAGACCAGACTGAGTAATGGGAACATGGTCCATGACTTTTTTTTTTTTTGGGTTCAATTTACGATCAAAAATTGCAATCATTATTCGAGAGTTTGTATTGAGTATATACCATCTTCTAATTTTAATTAGTAAATGATCACAGAGACAATGTTACTTATAGCTGATTGACTCAAATTAAAAAGGCTAATAAACAAGTGCTGTTACAAATTATGAAATCATTGATTTTAAAACTCAAGGTAATATTGATATTGACTAGGCTATTTCAGTACCAACTTTTGCTTAACATAATAAAGGCAAGATAAGGCTTTAATTTAATACTTTCATCATGAGTTATAACCAAAATGAAGTTTGTTTAATTTGGTGGCTTCTGCACTTCTTCTGAGTTGGATATTCCCTACTTGACACTTGCACATGAATCTTTTCTTAAATAATATATATATAATCCACTCACAACCCTAATCATGCATAGGTATTAAGTGGTGTAAGTTTAATTAGACTTGTTAAGTAAAGTTTGGTCAACTTAATTATGGTTGTTTGATTTGAATCAAATCTTATGTCTATATTAATGGGATATATATAGATAATATAGCATGTATAGTTCACTATTGATAAGTTTCGAGCGAAGTGACGAGTAAAATATTTAACTTTTCCTTATTGTTTTGTTTTTATTTTTATTTTGTAGTTTCAACCTCAATTCCTTCTGTTATGAGGTTAGATATATTACTCGTGTTTACATGTTATCTAACACTTAATACATATATTATGTCATTATATATACTTCAAAAAGTTACTGAAATCAGTTTTTTCAACTTATTAGACATTTTTTTTTGTTCGGTTTACGACAAAAAATCGCAATCATTATTCGAGAGTTTGTATTGAGTAAATACCGTCTTATCATTCTAACCGGTAAAGATCACAGAGACAATATTACTTATGACTGATCGACTTAAATTAAGAAGACTAATAAATAATTACTGTTGCAAGTCGAATTTGTAATCTCGTCTTGGATTACTTTTTTACAAATTATGAAATCATGATTATTTTTTTAAAAGAAAAAACTCAAGGTAATATATTGACTAGGCTATTTCAGTACCAACTTTTGCTCAACATAATAAAGACAAGATAAGGCCTTTAATTTCATCATGAGTTGAGAACCAATTTAAGTTTGTTTGGTGGCTTCTGCACTTCTTCTGAGTTGGATATTCCCCGCTTGCCACTTGCACATGAATCTTTTAAATAATATAATCCACTATTCCACTCACAACCTTAATCATAGGTATTAAGTGGTGTAAGTCTAATTAGACTTGTTTATAAGTAAAGTTTGGTCAAACTAATAATAGTTTTTTTTTTTTTTTTTTTTTTTATTTGAATCACATGTTATGTCTATATTAATGTGATATATATAACATATATAATTCACCATTAATGGTAAGTTTTGAGTAAAGTGACAAGATAAAAATATCTAATTTTTATTTTTTTTTTATTTGTGATTTCAACCTCCTTTTACTATGAGGTTAAGTGTTTAATTACATGTTACCTAACACTTAATGCATATATTATCTCATTATACTGCTATAAAGTTGTTGGTGAATTTTAATTTTAAAGTTCATGCAGACTAGCTAATTGAGTTGCATGCTATAAGTCAAGAAATTTAGATATCATATTATGGGCATTGAGAGAATTTGTTAGCCACGTTAATTAAGACACATACATTTTGTTATTGATTTTCTTTATGAACTAATTTCCAGAGCAAGAACAGTGAAGCACATAAGAGCATCTCTATTAGTCTGATTTTTACACAAATTTTTAGGTGACAATTAAGAGATAAGAGTGAAAGGAAAAGAAAAATGAAAAATCAAAAGAAAATAATTAAATCAGGGTGGTCGCCACTTCAACGCGCCCAGCGATCACATGTACGACCACTGGGCGCTGCTGGTGCGCTTAACGCGCATTAGCTATATATATATATATATATATATATATATATATATATATATATATATTTGGGTGGGTCCTACAATAGGAGACGAAAATAACACTATTTTTTCTTCTCTCTCATCTTTTTCTTACCTTAAAAACTTATCTAAAAATCATTATTGTGGTTATCTAAAAATTAAAGTCAATTCATGTATATAAGGTGGACCATGCAGCTTAAAATTAAATGCTAGGCTAGAGCCTAGAGGTCAAAAACCAAGATTTTGATGAAGAAAACAGTAGACTTTGGAGATTATTCAATTCCTATATATTATATATGCACGCCGTTGATTGGCGTTTAATTTGAGTCAAGAACGATGGCTCCCAGAGGTTACCATTTACCAATAAATTAAAGAATAACCTTAGCACATATATTTATGTGCCAATTAAAATGCTACTTGTATTTGTATATGTAGTATGTATGTGTTCTTTAATTCTTTCAACGCGCAAACTTCACAGAAGAGTCTGGTAAGTGTTCACACCATTGACAGGATCGGACCACACATTTCCTCTTTAAACTACTTTATTTCATTGCGTTAGGTTGCTGTTTAATTTGCACGTGAAACTTTGACAAATTTTAGGTTACGTTTCTCACGCCAAAGTCTACTTTTCATTTAATCATGATTTTTAAATATACGATCCTCCCAAATGCTCTGTCAAGCCGGGGTGTGGGGGCCTCTTAGAATTGGGGTTCAATTTTTTTTGGAAGAATGATTTTTAAATAAACAACCTAAGAGAGTAGTGAACAATTGCCAAAATCAAAAATCAATCGTCGCCTAAGAGATTTAAACTCTCGCGGGAAAACTCCATGTACTTAGTAGCACACGCTTTAACCACTTGGTCAAAGCGACAATTGGGTTAATAATTGTTCAATAGCTAGTACACAAATGACTTTTAACGTCGATTTTTTGGACATTTTAACGTTGATTAAAAAGTGATGTTGATGTAACAGACGTTGTATAGTAAACATACGATGTCAGTTAATAAAATTCAACGCAAATTATTTATCTATTAACACTACAAGAAAAGTGTCCATTAATGAGAGGTAAAACCGTCACTAAAAATCCAAAAACCATCATAAAAGACTTTTAATGACGGAAAATTTACCGTCACCACCCGTCGTTATTTCTTCTGTAGATAAAAATAAATAGTGACGGGATATGATACCATCATTAATAAGCAATTTAGTGATAGTGTATTTACCGTCACTAAAACGTTCTTTTTACGACAAAAAATCCCGTCACTAATACAACTACTCACTAGCATAATTTCCTCTCATTATATTCTTGTAACGATGGAAAATACCGTCATTAATACTACTATTTACTAAAAAATATTATTATTTTTTAATTTATATATATATATTGTTACTTCTCATTAAATATTAATTTTTGTAATACATTTCTTTTCTCACTAATCGATATTATGATATGTTGTAACTATAAATATTATATAGATACATAATGCAATTAAAGTAAACTCGATCAATATATTAAAAGACTTCATCATTAATACCAAAATAAAATATTCCATACAACTTTGTAAAGACTAAAGACAAAGAAACTAATTATAACAAATAGTCATAGTAATGTATCTATTGGCTAGCTATTTTGCCAAAAGTCTTTTGCATTTGAACTAATTTTGCTCAAGTCATGCAAGATCAGTGATGAGCTCAAACTCCTGCTTATCATCTCACTTCCTGCTTCGGAATCACAAGCCTCTGTCTCTTGACTACCAATAAAACCCCAAAATGTTTTAGTATAAGCTTAAAGACATACAATTTGCAGGCTTAGAATTCATCAAATGATCTATCAATATTTGTAACAGAGCAAGGAGAAAACAGAAGGGTGACATCTACTATGGCATATGATTAAACAAAAATTTTACATTAAAATTAATAATAATCACATAATGATAATACAGGTTGCAATTGAACTATTATGTGTGTACATCGCCCTATTCTTTTTTATTATTTCAATAGTTTAGTGACATTATATACATATCCTAGGAAACAAAGTCAAATATAAATTGAATGGTCCATGATCTTAGTTTACAAGACAGAGAAAAAGAACAGTTAATATATAACATTGAGCATTAGAAACATACCTTCATAAAAGGTTGATTCGATGAAACTGTCCTTCAAGAGCAATGATACCTATATTAAACATAAAGACCTGAGTCATACCATCATGCCTCCTCAATATACACTAAAAATTATTTTGTTGTATAGAATTAAGAATAGAATAGTATACTGCTATATGCTCAAAATTCTTGAAACTACAGCAATATAGTGTATGCATGTCTTGGGGAGCAATATTAAACAACAAAAATCAAAATCTTTATCACAATCTAATTAAATTTCAAATGTGTACCAATTCATGAGTATAGAACAAAGAGAACGCAATAATTTAATCTAATCCATAGTTTATAATGAAACCACAAAATAAAAAGCAAATATACCTCATCAATCCAGTCCCACCACCGGGAACTCCGTCTCAATCTGGTTCCTAACAACATTATACATCAAAGGCTCATGCCGTTCACCTAAAACGCAAGAAAAGATTAAGCAAACAATTCTTTAACAGCTCTTGGCCTCTAGTTTCAGCAATATTTTGCTTTCAAAAAAAATTCTGAAATAATCAATAACGTTTTGATAACAATGATGACCAGGTGAGTGGTGGCGTTCATGAGTCGGCTATAAAGGTTAGGAGAGAATACCTGCACATCGCTACACTCATAAACTGGCATTTTCTTTCCCAAGAAACTCTCTCCCACAAGTTTTCCATGGTACAAATTACTGGAAAATTTAAAAAGGGAAAACATAGAGTACACAAATCTCCATATGTACTGGAAAATCTAATCCTATACGGCACCACAAAAAACACAAGAATGAGTGTTCATTCACAGTTTATCCCACAAATTAAACTTTATGCATATTTCTGTCCCTCTAAATATGAAAAATGCTACAAAGTATAGTTTTAAGAGTGATACTTTCAGCAAAATACATCTTCTAATTATCTTTCTAAAT